ATGTAGGCATGCATTGAGTAAAGTATGTCCTCAAGTGACATGTATTACATGTAGGCTCACATTGTGTACAATGTACAATGTACCGTGTAATTGTTCATGTAGGTGAAGGTGGGGCCTATTGACTTTGGGTGTTATTAAAGGCACTGTGGTATTTTTCTTCTAAGAAAAATAAGTAATGTTTATTATGGGAATAGAAATACCGTACACCCCTGTATTTACTTTACTAACAATGGCACAAATTTTGCTCATAATATACTGTCTGTACTATTGAGGGTCATAAGGGCATCACCTTTGTGTTCAAGTATGCATGGCTCTCGACAGACTTCAGATAGCTCTGGGCCCCGTCTTATAAAAGAGTTGATATCAATCGTAACTTATTTGCGATTAATATCAACTACATGTACATGTATGTACATACTGTACATGTATGTAAGAGATAAAAGACTGCAAACTAGCGATTCGGAATAAAGGACTTATGATTGATGTGGTTCAATCGCCACTCTTCATTAGAAAGGGGCCCTGGTATCTTCCTCTGTTTTGTTTCGTATAAAGGTGCACATGTTGGTTGCTAATCATACATGTATGCCTAAAAGAAATAATACAACATCCACAGTGGGTAATTAATTTCATTGTTTTCCTTTGAAAGCGATACATATTCTTGCAAATGTGTCTCAGTAAAAGGAGTAGTAATTTGAAAGGAAATCGTTGGAAATCATAAAATCATGTTTTTTATTACATTTTTGGCATTTGTGTGTTTCTTCAAATATTAACTTCATTTAATAGTACCATCAAATGCAAGGCGTTTGACTCTCCATGTACCTGTACATTGTAAGCCTATGTACCGGTATGCATAAAATATTGGAAAGTGAGGGGGGCTGGTTTTTATTGACACCACTACTTAAATTGGTCCTACCTGGCTTCACAAAAGGACTTTTGTTCAATCTAAATATCAAACATTTGCTTTCCAGGCTTCCAGCACATCACTCATGTGGTATTGTATAGATTGTATTGATCACTAGAATTATGAACATTGATTGCACGGTATCTACCGAATGAAAAATAAACACAAGGCATTCAGATGCAGATGAAGGCATTATTCAATTTACTAGCAAAACACAGCTCATGTTATTTATACAGGTGTACATTTGCTTTTAGAAGATTTTATGAGTTACCATAGTGTGTCCTGTATGACATAACGCTATGCGTTTTATCCATACATGATTTTATTCAAATATAAAATCACTAGATATAACTTTTGAAATAAAGTTTTTTTTCTGGTATCACTACATGAACTGTACCACAAGTCAGTACTCATACATGTATGAAGAGAATTTTCATTTCCATATGAAATAAATGGATCAAGGTCATATGAAATATCATACCATAGGACATACATGTATGTACATGTACTGCATGAAATCGACCCTTTCAATGAAAATGTGACAAAGATTATTGAGAAGATTCATCCCATCTAATTTTTGATGCAGAACTTAAGTACTGCTCTGAGGCCACCTTTTTTTTTAAAGGTATTTTATTTCAATCTTTTCAGATTTGCTATTTTGAAAGCAGAGATTTTCCAGAGCTCTTTTAGGAAGTGCCAGAAATAAAGTTGTCTTGCAGTTGCAGTTCTCTCAGTCCTGTTTTATGTTTTTTTTTCTTCACTTGGCACATATACAGTTTTGTTAAACAAGGACAGTTTTTTCAGAAGCTTTTGAATATTTTTGGTAGAATTTTTTTTCTTCAACACAGCAAAGTAGAATATATTTATGTACATATAGTTGATTCACTATGTTTTTTTTAATTTCCATGTAACTATTATTATTATTATTATATGCAGGCCTGTATGCCAATGTTAAGAGATCTGCCCATATAATACTACTGTAGACATGTTGCACATGATACCAACCAGCATATTGATTTTATAATCAATCACTGGTTCATACACAGAATCATTGTGGTTCTTATTTCATACATTTTTCAATGATCAATCAATGTTGGGGCGTAGTTTCCATCTACTTACATCTACATACACGTATTTCAATAAAGACACAAAGAGTGGAAGCCTACACCAGTACATATCGTCGCTGTTTTCACGAAGTGACGGTAGTGAAAAAAAATAGCATTCACTTTGCGTTACGATTTTCCTCACTACCGTCACTTCGTGAAAACAAGGACGATATAGCTGCTCTTCAAAGCTCCAAGTATCTCTGTTTATGGGTAAATACTTCTTTTTTCATTACTTTTATAAATCTGTGAGTATTATAAAAAGTCATGTTGAACTTAAATATAGACAATAAAACAGTATTTTTAGATTTCCAGTTTTCATTCTTTGTAATGTACATGTAGCTGAAGTAAATGTTTGTGAAGAACTTACTCTGTGGGTAATTTATACCATTGACCCTAAAAAATGGCAGCATTTATCATTTATTACTTCTGTTTGTATGATCTGGGCCCAGTCTTGTAAAGAGTTACGATTCATTCCAATCAATTGCAAGTTTGTAGTCTCCTATATCTTATGTACATAGTTGCGATTGATATCAACTCTAATAAGATGGGACCCAGGTAGTGACAGATTGAAGTACATGTACAATGTACATACCTGTGCATGTGTATCATGCATCAAAATAGTAAGCAAATATTAATCGACTACGAGGGTAATGGTATAGTATTAATGACTGCTTTGAGAGAAATAGTTGTTTTATTACGCTCAAGGGAAGGTTAGAATTGTGCTATTCCCCGAGGCTTGCCGAGGGGAATAGCCCAATTGTAACCTTCCCGAGAGCGTATGAAAACAACTATTTCTCGAATATTAAAGCAGTCATTAATACTTTTATATGCCGAAAAAAAATAGACTAAAAAATAAAAAATAAAAAATAATTTTTTTTTTGTCGAAGGTGAGAGTCGAACTCTCGCGTACACTGAGTGATGAATCTTACACCAACGCCTTACACCACTCGGCCATCGCGCGCTGTTCACGAGCTTGGCAGTTTTGTACAATATATACATTAAAGTGGATTGAAACCGGCTTCGGCGTGATGAATGCTTCGCAAAAGCACCCTTCTTTTACTTTTGCAATGCATATTGGCACGAACTTAGATCAAGATCTATCGGCAGATGTTGTTTTTTTGTTTTTGGAACTTTATTTTCGTCTTCATGTCAACAATGCAAGATAAAATTGTCGGTAAGATCGATCGAGATTCAATTGTATTGAAATTACCGACCAATCCTTCGCACACATACGGTATCCTCGATCGCTCAAACCATTTTTTAACATGTAAACCTATGGGGTAACCATGGAGGCTGACCTATTTTTTTAATAACCATGGTTATTAAAAATAGTAAATGTTTTATGCATGGTTACCGGGAATTTTACAGGAACAGTTGAAGTTTATGAATGCAATTCGACCAATCAGATGGCTGGATTTCTTAAGTGAGGTATATAATACAAACTATCATCGTCTAGGTGATCTCGGGGCTACTATCTTCGCGAGCCGCAATGAGATGGTAGCCCCGAGATCACCAAGGCAATAAGGTCTATTTAAAGTGAATTTTACATAATAATAACTGATTCTGCAGACAGTTTAGCTTCAGCTAGATTTTACAAAGCACAACATGCATACTGTACATGACATACAGTCGATGCGCGCTCATTTGACTTTGACATTTCGCGTAACCTACTTTGCTATGCGTATTCAACGGGCAAGGGTGGGCAAGTGGGGTAGCAGCAAAAAATTACTTTACAAAAAGACCTATCTCAGGTAGATAGTACTTATCTATACCTTTTTTGTGCTCTGTACAATCGCAATGCAAACAACTATACATGAGGGATATAACAAATATTAGATGAGAACCTACATTTTGCATAGCGGCATCTTGTGTACATGTAGAATTTTCTCATGATATAGGCCTATACATGTACATAACATAGATTGTATAAAAATAATTATGATATATATGAACACAGCTTATTTTATTTTTGTAGAGGTGGCAGTGATGTGTATATTTCTAGAACAATACAAAACAACAGGAAATATTTGTGAAGAGCAAGCAAATCTCAGAGTTTGGTGAATAATTTCAATATTTTTATTGTCAGGTGACTAATTCATGTGATTTCCTTTGTGAAAGCTTTGCCATTGTATTTGAGCAAGAATAATAGGCACGGGTTGGGGTTATTTCCTTTTCTTGAAGAACACAATAAGGGTGGGTAAAATGTAATATTTTAATTTCAGAAATGACCTGTGAACAAGAACAAAGGAGTACACAATAGTTTATGTTTATATTCATTTAGGAGAATGTTTTCGGATCAAAATCAAAATACATTAGAAAACTGCAAAAAAACAAAAATAGCTACGACTACATATGATTGATGTTGCATATCATTATAATGCATGCAAACGTGTAAGTTGCCTTTCGTTGTATAAGTTAACGTTTCCACATTTTGGCAGCAAACAATGGGTATTTATGACATTAAACACATTATATTTATTGGCAGGTGGTGTACGGACTGAACCTTAGCCTAACCGATCAGGAAATCGCGGTTTCCTGGTTTCTATCTTGTTTTCACCCACAAATCCTAAACTAATCTAGTATTAAACAGCTTCATTGATCCATGAAGAGCCTACTCTGTCCTGATCAGATGACAAATGCGATATCATAATTCAGTTCAAACATGATATTGATAAAAACAGATTGTCTGAAACTGTAGAGGTAGAAGCTGTGCTGTAAATGCATCCTTAGTTGTAACCTATCACATGTAATTTTTGATATAGCCTTTAGTCTAAGTTCTAAAAATTGAAATTCATTAAACTCGGTAGGTTCTGAAACTTCTGATATACATGTATATAGCAATTTATTGATATTGCTTGCATGCACTTTACTGCTATGTAGAATCAGATTGTTCAAACTGTCTCATAATTGTAACAGTTTGATAGTCAGTAGTGTTAGCACTTTATCTCATTTCTTCTTGGAATTCTCCTCTCCTTATATGATCTTCATCATAGTCAGATCAAGACATCATGAAGACCCAGCGTAATACCCGAGCTATGGCTAAGAGACAGCAGCCAAAGGACTGTAGGAAGCGCCCTGTCAAGGTCACCCAATCCTTGACAGGGGACATAGTGGTAGCTGCTATCACTGCCCTCAGGAATGCCAATGGTTCCTCTGCTCAATCAATAAAGAACTACATCAAGACAATACACGGTGACATCGGTGAGACACCTTCCCTTGGTCGTGCTCTCAAGGCAGCTTCCAGGAGAGGCGAGATTGAGCTAGTAGCGGCAGGGGGTGGTCTATTAACCTACAAGTTGGCTAAAAAGGGCAAGTCAAAGACCTTGCGGGCCAGGGGAGCTGCCAAGAAGAAACCTAGGGCTACCAGTGCCATGCCCAAAACGAGGAGCGAGATGCTTGCTACGAAGAAACAAGCTGAAGATGCTAATAAACCTGCCAAGAAGGGTATCAAGAAGGTTTGCAAGGGACCCACAGCCTTGAAGGCAACACCATCTAAGAAGGCCTCTGCCAAGAAAACAACAAAGGGAGCTCCAAAGAAGCAGGGTGCAAGGAAGCCGCTCAAGAAAGCTACCAAGAAAAGAGATGATGAGGAGACATCAAGTGACAGCAGGGAAAAGTAAACATTTCTTTCCTCTTGTCTTGCAACCTTCAACATCATATTCTTTTGAATCATTTGCTTCTATTTATTAGAATGTGCTTGTTTAAAATTTTGTTTTATAGAATATTCTTGGTTGCTTCTGTCATGGGCAAATGATCATCTTAGTTAATACTTAACATGGATGCCATTTCTAATGGTTGCCAGCAAATGACATGAAAATTGCATGCCTACAGGTACCTACTTTGTAAAATTATGATTATTCTGAATTTCTTACAACTTGAGTTTGACATCAATCGCAACTCTATAGAGCATAGGGAATTGTAACATTGTGATTCAGATTCAGATTCAGATTAATTTCTGGTGAATAGGATGACTCTGCAACTCATTAGGGATTAGTCTTGGCATACACATACATGTATATGTAGTTTGCAAAGCAGCCTACTTCACGGTGTATTCACCAATCAAAGACATTTCTTTCATATCTACTAATGAGACTTCATCAGACATTCAAAATTTTGTTAACTTTTTCTTTGCCACCAAGTTTACAAACATGCATCACAACTTAGGATTTCATTAGGCTGGTACGTCATTGTTCATTTTTGTCATTTTTTCATCTTGGACTCGTAACAAAAATCTTTGTCTTATTTGTGTATGAGATAAAGTATAAAAATTTGAATGGTTAGAATGGTCTACATGTACCGGTACATGTAGATGCCTCTGTAGGTATCGACCTGATAAGGTTACGCTAAGACTGCAAAAGGGGTAGAACTGGTCCATATAACAATAGGATTAGCTCCATCTCAATAATCTTTCATAGAACAAATTATGCATATAATTTATTTTTGTTAATCATACATGAATCATGTGCATGTAAAGTAAATGAATCCATCAATCATATGATACTCTCTGAATTTATCATTAACTCATAAAACTACTAACTTGTGCATTAGCTGCATGATGCATGGAATGGCATTTCAGTGCATGTATACACAAAGGATTTCTTGAGTATTGGTATGCAAATAACCTATTTCATTTGCTTTTTGATTGTGCATATATGGATAACCATATGCACAATGTCAATGAGTTAGACCAGTTGAAGTTCTGTTCCTTGACTGAAAGTTGGTGGTTGACTTGGTCAAGTTGGTGCACTACATAAACATCAAAGTTTGTCATCTCAAACTTGACTGTTTTTTATTCCTACTAAAAATTACAGATGTGGCTTCTCTTTTTGTGAAGCACAATTTCTAGCTTCAACTGTGATATCTCATGACAAAAGTGAATACATAGGGCCAATATTTATAAGATGGGACACCAGCATGGCACCATAAATTAGTAAATTATTTACTCTGTACAGAATGTTTGGGTAATTCAGGAGTTAAAACAATTTAACAGCATTCAATAATGAAACTACATTTATGTACATATCACATAATTTAACACAGAAATTTACTAGCCTGACCCTCGCATTAGGATTGGTTTCAGAGGCAAAAACAAGAATTGTTTTGTTAATTTGAAATAAGTTTCACAAATGTTTGAGGATTGTTCAGGTCATGTGTCTTACATATCTCATGAACTTGTGACAGGAAGTGGTGTCTAGTGTCAGGTCCAAGTTGCAGACATTTTGTGCTGATCTCTCTTGATGTCTTTTCCAGTGCGAGCTCAGTCGCTAGAGCATATATAGCCTTTAGAGTCGGTGGGTTATTACATCCAGTGGTTCGGTGGTCATAGAATGCACTCTTTAGGCCTGTCTACATCAGCTCAAGTTGGCCAAATAGCCTGCTATTTCTGATTCTGGAAATTAGCCCGATCAGGAAATAGCAGGCTACTTGGCAGGTGAAGACGCAAATATAGTGAGCCATTTGCTCATGAAATCTTTCCAAGATATCTTGGGCTAGTTTGCCAAATCGCCCTCTATTTGTCCGGTCCATCTACATGTAAACCAGCACCAAAAACTCGCACTTTGCGGGAAACACTGACCAAATTTCTTGAGCTCTAGTTTCTAGCTGATGACGCGATTTATAACTTCAGGCTAATTTTCCAAATCAGAAATAGCAGGCTGTTTGGACAACTCAAGCTGATGAAGACGAGCCTTTTAAGCATGCAGGGACTTTGGTTCCATTGCAAGTCACTTTACTGCCCTATACCTTGTGGGAGAAGACTTTGTCTTCTTCTTTGATACACGTACGGTATGTCAACAGACTTGCTATTCCATGTAGATACTACAGAGACATGGTTGATGGTCACGTGATCATGGACCAGAATGATCTTTGTTTGATATATTTTAGCGTTTGGGTCTTAAAACATATATATTTATCTCGTGCAAGTTTAGGCTTTTTGAAACCAGTTGTTAAGTCATCAGTAGACTCTCGTGCCAATATGCTTATGAGGAGCTTGGGATAAACTTTATTTTATGTTTTCAAGGGAAAGTAGATATTTACATACATGTACATGTATGTGACAGCAATTTAGTTACTATGAAACCTTAAGCAGCTGTTGCATATGACAGAGCCACATTTTATTTCATAATTTGTGGTCATAATACAAGGATGACATCACACGTCTGATCTTAAATGCAAAGTGTGGAATGTAAATCACTCATGTTTGTCTCATCTGTGTCAATAGCAATATAATTAAAAGGTTAATTCATAAACCGACATGGAGACACCCACCTTTCTAAGGCCATTTTAGACCAGATGGTTACCTACATAGATGCGAGTGCGTATCTAATTGACATACATGTGTGCCGATGATTTGGCTTTGTAATTAATGTGAAAGCTCTTAGTGGGTTTTCCGCTAATTGGGATCCTGAAAAGTCTATTAATTGCTATGGCAACCAATTTAGACAGAAGAGGCTGTGGTTGCATGCTTTCATTGCTAATATGAATGAATCATACTCTTTCATCTCTTTGCACAAATATAATCCCATATGTTACGTTATCCTGACTGCTAAGGAAAGAAACAAGGTTATTAATACAAGCTTGTAGGCAAGAAGGAGACCTTCAGGCTACACATATAGCTTTTAATCTGATCTGGGGCGCAAGAAATGTTTGTAATTGCTAATCAATGCCTTTCCATTGGGCAATGGTACATTTACTTGGTTTCAAAATTGGGACCTCCAATTAGTACAAGAACACTTTTCTCCTCCAAAGTCATCATAGATTAAGAATAAATTATGCAATAATTAAATATCTCTTTTGTTCATCATGCGATTGATGCAAGGAATAGCAATGTAGTTTTCTGCAAATATCTCCACCCCCCCCCCCCCCCCCCCCCCCCTCCCATCCGGACAATGCTTTTATCAGGTAAAATACAAGTTCTGCTTTGCATTAATAAGACAGGAGAAAATTAGAATAATTGAATGATTGCGTGATAGAAAAACAGCTTGAAATTTCACCCATCAGGCTTCCTCAGGAAATCAAGCTGTTTCATGAAGTATGGCATAATACCAACTGGATGTGCAATGATTTTGTTTTACATTTCCCAAGCAGCGAGGAATCATGGTGCGTAGCTGGACTTTTTCCATTGTTTCTGGGGAAGGAGAAAGGTTTCGTAAAACACCGGGGCCTACATCACATTGTTTTGAAACTCTACATCCTGTTTCCCCATCAAAGGACCCATGTGGATATGAGTCATGAATGTACTCTGAAGAACATATCAGGGAGCTATTGCCATGTGCATAATAAATATATATTGTACAGCTGTACTTGTATTCAAAAAATTCTCTGGCTTGGACTATGGTTTATGGAAGTTGTAAATAGTAGTTTCTTTATGCTGGACTGCCTATTGTTATTCTATTGAAATTGAGTGTAGACTGTCTATATACCTGTATTGCACTTCTCGTCTGTGTCGCTGTATAAGGGCATTACCTCTGGGTCAAAGTACATGAGTTAATGGTAATACCATTCCTGCTTTAAAAAAAACCCATTTCTTGTGTAGTGATGCTTGTCCATGATTTTGAGAGCATATGACACCCTATGACTGTACATGAACCTCTAATAATACTCCCCATTTACATTTTTTGTTTATTATTCAGTTGTTTACACTCTATTTAATATCGTATTGATAAGTCCTTGATTCTGCATACCAATGGTATTGACCATACATTTTTTGTTTATTTTTTGTTTATTATTTATTTGTTTACACTCTATTTAATATCGTATTGATCAGTCCTTGATTCTGCATAATGGTACTGACCATACATTTTTTGTTTATTATTTATTTGTTTACACTCTATTTAATATCATATTGATCAGTCCTTGATTCTGCATAATGGTACTGACCATACATTTTTTGTTTATTATTCATTTGTTTACACTCTATTTACCGGTAATAACAACTCTTTCGGTGGTATTGATAAGTCCTTGATTCTGCATAAAGGTAGTGACCATGAAGGACAGGTGCATGTAGATGATGTCTGTTATCACTTCCTGATCAACCTTGATGAACCCGGAGACTCAACGACATGTATACATGGTCAGTGTAGGCCTAGGGTGCGTTCAAGCGATTTTTTGAAGCTAGAATCACAAACATGAATCACAAATTAAAACGCAGTTAAAAAACATGGTTACTGCGGGAGAGCGTTCAAGCAATTTTTCATCAACGCTGATTCTCGCTCATTTTAAGCCCAGCCACTGCTCATCACACTGCAGTTTGACCCAAGAAGTTTAGGTCCACTTCGCCGCATGCTTTCTGTCTATGTGTGCTTACGGTTGACTGTCGGTCAAACCGGAACAGGCCACGATAATGACGTCATAGAATCATGATTGAGATCTCCGTTCATTCAAGCGAATTTAAGCGACGATACAAAATGCATCTTTTTCAGCGTTTCATGTTTGTGTTTTTAAACACGTTTATTTTTACAACCGACAAAAAAAATTGCTTGAATGCAACCGTGTTTTAAACTAAACGTCTTTGAAAACAGTGATTCTAGGGTGAAAAAGTGTCAGTTGAACGTACCCCAATTCACACAAAAGGATAAACGTTTTGAAATACGGTTTAATTCCCCTGGTTTTTGCACCTGCTCACACACGGGATATAAACACAATTTCCTATTCTCACTTCAACTGACCTCTGATGTCGCACAGCTACTGAACAAATGCCATATACATGTAAAGACAGCTTTACAAAAAACACTATTATAGTGCAATTTGAATTGTGGTCCAAATCTCACTCATTACTAATTACTGCTACTTCACACACATAAAGTAAGGTTTTGGTTGGACTTTAAAAAGCTATCTTCTGGCAATTTTTAAATCACACTTCTTGTCCTTGTGTAAATGGGCCTTCCATGATCATTACATGGCGGTTGATGAACCAGATGTGGAGGGATGCACATGAGTGGATCTACTATTGACTGGTTGGCTGGTTGGCCTCTGCTAGCCTACAGAGTACTTGTCCTCATTTCAGGGTTGTGCACATTGTAATATAGCTTCTATTCAATGTGTTTCCCCATTTGTCTGTCTTCAGTTCATCATCTGGAATGTATATTGTATTGAATTTGTGGAAATGCTGTTGATGTCATCTCCCATAGGAAAGAAATGAGCCTGCCGCATACTCCTGCGGCAGACTTGCCGCAGATCTGCAGCAGACCTGCCGCAGACAGTCATCTTTTTCACATGCAAATTAGTTTTGCCGCAGACTTGCCGCAGACTTGCCGCATACTCTTTCAGTATGATGAAGAGTCTGCGGCAGGTCTGCCGCAGACTTGCTGCAGACCTGCCGCATACTCTTTCAGTATGATGAAGAGTCTGCGGCAGGTCTGCCGCAGACTTGCCGCATACTCTTTCAGTATGATGAAGAGTCTGCGGCAGGTCTGCCGCAGACTTGCCGCATACTCTTTCAGTATGATGAAGAGTCTGCGGCAGGTCTGCCGCAGACTTGCTGCAGACCTGCCGCAGAATATTCATATCTCATATAGACCTGCTGCAGACCTGCCGCATACTCTTTCATATCCAGTACGTGGCAATAAAGTATGCATGTAGAAGAACCAGTGATCAACTGATTGATACTTCATAATCGATATTGGCAATATCGATATTACCAATTAGGTAATACCAATATGTATGTCGATATTACCAATTAGGTATATTCTATTCTCAATTGTATTAACTTCATCACATTGATCATTTGAAGAGTATTCAAGAGTAACATTTAAAGTGACACAGGCTCGTACACATATATATACTAAATATGTATATTGTTTCTTGGTTAGTAATCATAGTTTCTTGGTTAGTAATCAATATATCTATTGCTTAAACGTGAATGTAATTGTAACATGATCAGACAAAATAATCTATTGGTTAATAATGGCAAAAGGAAAATAGAAATCACAAAAATGATGTGCATTGTCTTAATTTGCTTAACAAATCATGATAAATGTATTTTTCTGTCACACGTGTAAAGTAATAATGAATATGCATGAGATGATTGGTTTCAATTGGCCCTATTAGACTTTAATGGGATTTCCTGTGGCAGACCTGCCGCAGACTGTTCCTGTGGCGTACTGGTATGCGGCAAGTCTGGAGCAAAGTTTCATCCTGCCGCAGATCTGCCGCAGACTGTTCCTGTGGCATACTAGTATGCGGCAAGTCTGCAGCAAAATTTCATCCTGCCGCAGATCTGCCGCAGACTGTTCCTGTGGCGTGCTGGTATGCGGCAAGTCTGGAGCAAAGTTTCGCCCTGCCGCAGATCTGCCGCAGACTGTTCCTGTGGCATGCTAGTATGCGGCAAGTCTGGAGCAAAGTTTCATCCTGCCGCAGATCTGCCGCAGACTGTTCCTGTGGCATACTAGTATGCGGCAAGTCTGCAGCAAAATTTCATCCTGCCGCAGATCTGCCGCAGACTGTTCCTGTGGCATACTAGTATGCAGCAAGTCTGGAGCAAAGTTTCATCCTGCCGCAGATCTGCCGCAGATCTGCCGCAGACTGTTCCTGTGGCATACTAGTATGCGGCAAGTCTGCAGCAAAATTTCATCCTGCCGCAGATCTGCCGCAGACTGTTCCTGTGGCATACTGGTATGCGGCAAGTCTGCAGCAAAATTTCTTTCTGCCGCATACTTCGGCATACTCTTTGCCGCAGACTTTTAGTCTGCGGCAGGTCTGCGGCAGATCTGCGGCAGGTCTGCGGCATACTTTTCACTTTCCTATGGGCTGTGCTGGACAATTCAAAGAGTCTCTTGATACTTGGTAATAGGAGTAGAAACACAGGATCCAATAGCTTAGTAAGTACATTAATTTATCAAGGTTGAGATTCTTTGATTGATTTGTGGATGAAAATGATAATTTTGACTTGAAACAAGCTTAGGCCTCACTGTACAAAATTGCTGTGTTGAAAAAAATTCCTAAGGAATACCATGTACCTGGTACTCATGAAGGGTTTTTTTTTTTTTTAATAGCAGGGGTGGTGGGTGGGTGAAGAGGTAGTTTGTTTATTTATTTTTTACTTTTTTATCTTAGCTTAAAAACCTCAAATTTTCATTATTTGTACGTACTGTAGGTCATAATTATTGGATGTAATTTGTTAAGTATACATGTACTGTACATGTACATGTATTTAATTTCCTTTCTGTAATTTACATCCATGTATATGATGCATAATTATGTTCACAAAATTGTTATTGATGTTTTTTGTTTTGTTTCTGTTTATTTGGAGGAATAAAACATGAACCAAAAAGTGGGTGTTGGTGAGAGAAAGAGATAGAGAGAGAGGGGGTGGGGGCGTGGTGGAGGGGAAGAGTATGAGGGTGGGGTGCATGGAAATTTCAATCGCTGATGCTGAGTTAATTTTCATGGTTATAGATAGAAGAGCGAAGTCTGTTTTCAAGTTTGTTTCATAAGGTTTCTTGTCTCACCTTTCCTGCTTCCGGACAGACACTATGAGGAAGTGTAGTCACGATTCTTGGATAGTTGATATGTGTAGCTCTTTCATACTTAATATTTTACATAAAGAGGAGTTTGCAACTTCAATGAAATATAAGACACACTTATGATAATTTTTCACATACATGTAAATGTAATTCATTAAATGTCTTAAAAATATTGCTTTTTAATCTAAAGGAGAAATGTTTAAGTGTATTTGTTAAACTGAATCCTCGATAGGAACAAAGCATAATTTATACATTTTTACAATACAGATGAAATCAGGCATTCAAATAGGGAAGTGGTATTTAAGTTACAGTGTACATCTCATGCATGAAGATTTGTCAAGTTCTCATTATCGGTAGATGACTAAACAATAATATGACCAAATAAGGAAGTTTTGAAGTAGAAAAGGCAAAGTTTTGCTAATGCAAAAACTGAATCCTCAATAGGAACAAAGCATAATTTTAATTTATATATTTACAATACAGATGAAATCAGGCATTCAAATAGGGAAGTGGTACTTTTAATATTTACATGTCATGCATGAAGATTTATTATTATTATTTATCAAATTCTCATAAGGTGGCTATTAACAATAATATGACCAAATCAGGAAGTTTCAAAGTAGAAAAAGCAAAGTTTTGCAAATGCTTGCCATTTTCCACAATTTGCTGATTGTTTCAGGCACACAAAGTATTTCTAACGAGAGGAGTGTTATCAACAATTACTAATATGTTTATTTGTTAATCAAACATAATTTCTAGGAAAACTGAATGATAATCCCAATCTTGAAGCACTACTTTCCGTTACGAGGACTCCACTTAAATTTCTAACGGGATTGTTTTCAGGAAATGACAAATATAAAAGAGTTCCTGGTTCCTCCTAAAGACAGTATTGTTGGAGCTTGTCCTTGTGTATCATGCGTTTTATCACAGTTTGCTTCTAATAGTTTGCTTACTGTGTGTTTGAATCACAAAATCTTGTAGGTATTGATTGCTCGGATTCCTACATATATGCCTTGTTGCTTGGACTCCAACACATCCAGGGATTGTGTGAAAAGCATCCAGTTTTTCAGGGGAAAAAAGTAATTTGAAGAAAGTTCACAGCTTGGACAGTCATTCTTTCATTGTTACATATGATGCACATTATTGGTAGATGCCAGACCTGCTCTTCCGTCATTAAAAAGTTGACAAAAACTGGAAGCCTTTAGTATTTTAGATGGTTATTTTCCCTTAGACCCCTGTTATTGTATATATTGCTCTAATATTGACTTCATCCTTCATTTTGTTTTTTTCTGCTGCAGCCTCTTCTCTTCCGTTGGCCTCTGTGGACATTACTTCCATCTTCCGAAGGTCACCCGTGGTGGGTCGTCCTCGATCACACCCGCCACCATGATACATACCAAGGCTAGACACACCATCTATCCTAACTCTACGGTGGGTAGGTTACCAGTACCAGATGATAAGGTTCCTTGGAAGGTGGAATGGCTGGAGTATAGCCCTGTCAAATACACATCAGATCATGTCAAAGCTGGACCTGTCTGGGCAGATCCAGATATCATGTGAGTACACAAATTCATCCTTTATTTTGTGTTCATTAAAAAATATTTTTTTAGTTATTATCATTTCTATTTCATTTCATTTTTTGGAGGGGGGAAGTCGTTTTCATGTAATCTGTGGACTAGAAAGAACTATCAGTAAGGTGAAAAGCAGTTCAGAGCAGATGCTCAAGAATTTACATCTGTTCTCAGCCTAAAACTTGATGAAACTTGTTATAGTGAACGTTACCCAGACCTTAATTTATGCAATATAATAATGTTATTACATTTGTATAAAGTATTTGGCACCACCCGAAAGAACATTCAGATTTCTTGAGATGGCCACAGTGTTAACGCAGAAAATAAGCAGAAGTACCATTCACTTTGAATGGTACATGTATGATTATTAAAACAAATGTATACATGTATCAAAATTGAAATGTGGACTCATATAATGTGATGTACTGGTATGCAATCTTTACCTAACTGCAATGTTCACACTCTTCAAAATACACTGTGACGCATTTATTTATATATGGATGCTTGAATACAGGTGAAGGTTATGCATCTGTTTGTGTTAGCTTAGCATAATGTGTATCATTTATCAAGTTAATTGTGGATTTTTATTCTCTCATTTTGTTTTGTTTTATTTCTACCTATCTAGGCAAAAGGGTAGTCCATCATTAAACTTCAACAGTAAAGATGGGAAAGTGAATCGTCGTAGCTACATAGGAGACTATGGTTGCGTGGACGGAGTACCAAGGTATGCAGTCATTTAGACAGGAATTCATGGTTAAAAATGCAGCCGGCAAATTTTGTTGTCGTTGAAATTGTAAATGCATAAAGGCTCATTTAAGCATCTGTAGGTGTTTGCTGCTGTTTAAAAAACTGGTGTTGCAAAATGAAAACAGACAAGCATAGAGTGCTTCACATTTGCTGAAACTTATAAAAAACATATGATGGAGTATCGTATGGAGCCTTTGTTGCACAAAGCTATACATTTGTATTACTTCTATTTTTGTTGGTGGCCGATATGCCTCTACATTGCACCTTGGTCTAAATGATAACTTTTTAAACAGTACCAGAAAATGTTTCTAACAATGGGTTGAAAAATAGAGCATCCCTGATCATAATGGATTGACTGAGAATGGTATAGCTCCTTAATTTGTAAAGCCTCAGTGAAAAATGATGTCAGCAGGTTGTATTGTAAAAGATCTCTGAACATCACAGTTTGGAGTACATGTAGCCCTCACAAAGAAAAAGATATATTTTATTCCATTTCTCATCTATCCCCAGGAATCCATGCGGACGTACTGGAATGATGGAGAGAGGTTTATTAGGGAAATGGGGACCGAACCATGCAGCTGATCCTATTGTAACAAGGTAATATTATGATTCTAATAGTGGTGATGGTGATGATGATGATGATGACGATGACGACGACGATGACAAAGACGACGACGATGATGATGATGATGATGAAGATAAAGATGAAGGTTATGTTGGTGATGATGCTGGTAGCTATAATAGTGGTAATGGTAGTGGTAGTGGTGGTGGTGGTGTTGATAGTGATGGTGATGATGATGACAGTAATTATTGTTGTGATGGAGATGATGGTGGTGGTGGTGGTGATGGCGATTGTGATGATGAAGATAATTGTAATGGTGTTGTTTTCGATGAAGATTATGATAACGCTGTAGCTGATGATAATTGAAATGTTGAATACCTTACATAGAAGTTCCAAGATATCCAAGAAAGAATTTGAATTGGACACAACTTGCTTTTCCATTAACTTTGTCTTCTTTAGGCATTTCCAAATCATTGATGATGTACTTCATGTCTTTGTCTTTCAGGTGGAAGAGAGATTCATCAGGCAAGAAAGTGTTGCACCCTACCTCAGGCAAACCCATACTTCAATTCATCTCAATCAGGAGGAAAGATTCAGGAGAGTGGGCGATACCAGGGGTAAGTGGGTCATTAAGAGCACCGTTATAACAAAGGTTAAAGGTCTATAAGAAGGTGATTGTGGTAAGGGGGTGAGAGAGTTATAGCAGGGAGGTGTAAGATCTTTATAAGAAGGTTATTCCAGAGAGTAAAATGAAAGAGCTGCATTGTGTAATAGAGTCAAGTCACCTATATACCGGGGGAAAGGATCTATACCAAGGCTAAGCATACTATGAAGGTTGTGTTAGGATTAAAACAGTGTATGGGAGGGTTGTAACTGGGATAGAATATAGAGGTGTCATGGTCGAGTGGATATGTCACCAGACTGTCGATCACAAGGTCTGGGGTTCAAGTCCCGCCGCGGCACTAATGTCCTTTGACAAGTCATTTATCTACATTTGCCACACTCAACCCAGGTGATGTAAATGGGTTCCTGGCAGATATTAATTCCTTGAAATGCTAGAGCACCGTAATGCCGTAATGCGTTTAGCCGTGCTAAAGCCAGGGTAATAATGAGGAGCGCCAAGAGTGTCAAGCAGCGCTCAAAATACACGGGGGCGATGGGCGATTCGCCCCCGTGAGCTCCATAATCACCCCCGTCAGGTTGCTCACGGTGGAATTATAAAATAAAGATTATCTTTTCTGATATAACTTTAACACAATATTGAGTATCAATTTTCAAACCTTAAACCAATGAAATGGAACTTAGATGGCCCTTTCTCTCCCATCTCTATGAGTATTACCGATACAAACAACAGAAGCTCGCAGTACAGCTAGTGCGGCCCTCAGCAGTGGCTATACTGCGCCGGTAGTACCAGTGTGCACGCTGACGCCCAATATCTGCTGGAGCTGGAGACGATCGCGCAAGGACTGAAACATGGAGAAGTTTTTCGTTGTGAAAAGTGTGAATCCTCTGAAATCTGGTTATTCTAAAAGGCCAGCAAATAATGTAACTTGACCAGTAAATCAATATTGAGAAGGAGATCACCAAAGATGTTGCAGGGTGTAAAGTTTTGTAATGTTTTATTACACGACTTAACACAACCCGTGTTTAAGGAGTGAACCATTCAATGTTGTGTAAAATGTGTAAAATGACCCCCTGTTGAAGTAAATCTGAGATTGTTCATTAATATTATGTTTTTAAATACAGTTTGCAAAATCATCTGTAAATAACTATGTTAAGCATTTACAGTCTATAAAAAATAGTTCCATAAATTAATATATCTCTGTGTTTGGATCAAGCAAAACAAATGCGTTTCCGGAAGCGAGAAAAAAAAATATGGAAAGAGGGGAAGGTCGAAATCTGTTTACGTGCAATACTTTTAGTGCACCGCGAGGACAACTATATTATGTCAAAGTCATGTTAATCCAGATAAGGTTATTCGAGGAATAAACTTTCAGATTCATATTTAAATCCCAATAAATAATATGTAGTCAAAATTAAATAAAGTAAGGTACAATCGACATGTCTACGGGTGCTTCCACTAAACGACATGACTTGAAAAAATAATAGAAAAGCACGCACGTGCAACGAGGACAAAATAAGAATAAGATAACATCCCAGTATATACATCATCCATCTTTCGAAACTAACAACGAGGGTGGCGCTAATTTTCTCTTTCGATTCATAATTAAATAGAAAACAGGATGAGCTCAGAGTTTTTATGTCAACCATTACCATTAAAACCATTTTTTTCTTCTTCCGCGAAATCAGGGGGGGGGGTCTGGTCTAGGTCTCTACTTTTCTGAAGAGGAGTGTTAATTACTCTTGTGTAATAAGATTGACAAGGTATTCATGTCTTTTGTCCTTTCTGCTATTTATTCTGAATAGTGTAGTTGTGTTTTGTGGCCAAGTTTCTATTTCGACATTTCGACATGAGAACAGTGACAACATATATTTTCGAGCTCAAGTACTTCCTTATTTCAGCTTTTAATCAACTACAAAGGCGATATGGGCGCGACAAAAAAAATTAACAAAATAGGCTAAAGTTCAGTCGATTGCAACGGTTTTTCCCTCTGGCATTCACGAGTGTTCATAAAATTATATAATACTTGTATATGTTTAAGAGAACTAGTCCTAACGAACAAAGGAAACTCCAATTTGACTATACTACATTGCGACGATCATATCCACTATACAGATTGAGTAATACGTATGTATACGGGCTTGGACCAGAAATTTCGTACAAAGGGAAGAGATCTGACCATTAGCTGCATGTTATAACTTGTAAAGTTGTAAGAGAAATAATGCCGACTATTAATGATAATGATGAAATAGCAAATAATTTAGGAGTTTCATGGGTACCACCAATTCAATGGAAAAAGAGCCCCCGTGAGAAGGCTCACGGGGGCGCTTTTTATTTTGGAAGAGCCCCCGTGGACAAAAAATTAATTTGAGCCCTGGTGTCAAGTCTGACAGACATGGGCGCTTTACAATATTGTTATAACAGGGGGGTAAGAATGTTATGCTAGAGGTCAGAGTGCTATGTTAGGGGTAAGAAGGACTGGACTCTGTAGGATGTAAGAGAGGGGTTGAGATGAGGGGGCTGAGAGGGGGGCCATACTAGGGTGGAGGGTTCTACACTGGCTCTTGGAGTAATCAAACATAGATGACCTATAGGTGAGTGAGTGAGTCTGCACTTGTAAAAATGATGCCTGGCTGGAATGCTCCCCAGGGAGTGGAGAATGTGCATACATACATTGTGTGCAGGTTAGCCTGAATCAGATGACCGTGTTAATTATATATCTGTAAAGCGCCTAGACACATCGTTGATGTATTAAACGCGGTATAAAAACCAAATATTATTATTATTATTTCATGTGTCTATTTCTCTTTGTCTTGTGTGTTTATTGCAGGGCATGGTGGATGCTGGAGAGAAGGTATCACAAGCCTTGAAGAGAGAGTTTGGTGAAGAAGCGATGAACTCATTATCATTACAGGACAAAGAATGTAAAGCTGTAGAGAAAGCAGTAGCTAACCTCTTCAAACATGGTGTTGAGGTGAGTGAATGGGACCTATCAATCTAACTACCCACATAGTTAGTAAAAAGATGATTAGGGTCATCTCTTAAAGGGATCGTTTAACAATTTTAAATCTGAGATGCACTGCCCTACGTGTTATCAGTGTCTGTGATATGGTGTTATGTTGAAGCCTTAAAAAAATTGCACTTCAAAATGATCACAAAAGTAAAAACCTTTGAGTGACCGGTTTTACCTTACTTGTTTTCCCCAATAGACTGTAGTGTTACGAAAACCGTTTGGCAAATGCCAAATTTGATTTTGATTTTCAATCATAAATATCTTGATATCAGACAGGCGATCGGCTTGTAAAAGTCATGGGGTTCCTGACTCACCTTAAGACAAAGTTACCGGATCCCTTTAAAGGAGGGGTTGTTTTCTGGTGTACATCTACTTGTTGTCCGAGGGGGTGGGGGGTTTGTTTGGGATACCGGTAGTTGTTTGAGTTTGATAGTCTAAGGGATAGTTGTCCCCAATTGTGTATGTGAATTAAAGGTATGAAATCAATGGCCACTGAGGAGGAACCAGAAACAAAATCAGGGTTACTTTAGGTAGTAACGTCATTTATAATGTTCTTAAAAATGCAGAGAATTGGAGTTGGTGAATTTTTTGGACACAGCGCTATTTCACTATTCCAGCATTGGTTAACATTTGGAACATGCATAAAGCCTGCTTTTGTCAACATATGCCAATTGTACAATGTTTATTGAAAACTTTCTCCAAATAATTTGGCACTCTTGAGTTTAATTCATTTTAGTTCATGGCAAATAAAGAGTAAAACAAGTTTCATATCCATGTAGTAAAGTGACCCTACTTGATTTGTTTCTAGGTGTACCGAGGCTATGTAGATGATCCACGGAACACAGACAACGCCTGGATGGAAACCATGGCTGTCAACTTCCATGACGACCAGGGAACAAGCGTTGCTAAGTTCTCTCTTCATGCCGGTGATGATGCTGCTGCAGTCCAATGGCACGATGTCGGGTCAGAGATGAAACTCTACGCTAGTCATTCGTCTTTTATTGAAATGGTCACAAAGAGAGTAGGGGCTCACTGGTAATACACTCTGCTAATAGATCTATGTCATAGTTTTTTTTTACTGTGTCTAGTGGATAGTCCAAGTGCTGTATTGTTCGGGTCATTTTTTAATAAAAAAAACATATTCTGGTTAACCTTCATGAAATAATCCTTAAATAATCTTCGATATATGAATACCAATAAGCGTGTATACATTACTTTTTTCACAATCGTAAACAATAAGCATTTTGCAAACTAAGTTAAAAAAAATATGCAGATATTAATGAAGATACAAACCATAAGATTACAATCTTGATGTCAAAGTAGGTTAATTTTAAAGACATTTAATGAGAAAAAGTTTCCATTAAATTGTCATGAATTTGACATTACCGTTTAAACTATAACAAAGATAGAATGTACATGCATGTTTTTCAAAATAACAGAAATCATGTCCTTGAGACTCACATTACATGCAAGCATTTGCTTGTCACATTATTTCTTAAGTTTACTTTTTTAACAAGTGGATTATAACTTTGAAATAGGTCAATTATCTTCTGCAATATAGTTGCCTTCCAACTGATTTGTGTACATGTATGTATATATGGGTGCCGTGAAATATTGTCTGGTATTAGTGTATAAGTACAGTTTTGTTATGTGTACGATGACAATGCAAAGCTGATTAATGTATTGTTTATAGTTCAAATTCAGAATGTGCTTCAAATTTAGACTGAATATCTAATTGTGCTAAGCTTGAAAGAGACTACAACTTGATAGTACGTTACTCTGAGTGACTGCAGATAGATCAGAGGAACAAATTGGCAAAGATTCAAATGAAATCGAACAAATGGTAAAAAAGTTTGTATTTTTGAAATTTGAGATCACTGTTCATATTGGAACTTCAAATCAACAAATTGGTGACGTTACTCCGATGTATTGTCAGTCACATACAATTGTCTTCTTTTTATGCCTCCGTTACGAAGTAGCCGGAGGCATTATGTTTTCGGGTTGTCCGTCCGTCCGTACGTCCGTACGTCCGTACGTACGTACGTACGTACGTACGTCTGTACGTACGTACGTCCCGTTCTCGTGATCGCGTTATCTGAAGAACTGGTTGATGGATTCCTGCCAAACTTTGGTCATGTATGTATCTTGTAGAGCCGATGAACTGATTAGATTTTGGGGTTACAAGGTCAAAGGTCAAAGGTCACAGGGCTCATTATGTATGCAAAACGAGCTCGTGATCGCGTTATCTGAAGAACTGGTTGATGGATTCCTGCCAAACTTTGGTCATGTATGTATCTTGTAGAGCCGATGAACTGATTAGATTTTGGGGTCACGAGGTCAAAGGTCAAAGGTCACAGGGCTCATTATGTATGCAAAACGAGCTCGTGATCGCATTATCTGAAGAACCGATTGATGGATTGCTGCCAAACTTAGGTCATGTATGTTACTTGCAAAGCCAAAAAACTGATTAGATTTTGAGGTCACGAGGTCAAAGGTCAAAGGCCACAGGGCTCATTATGTATGCAAAACGAGCTTGTGATCGCGTTATCTGAAGAACCGATTGATGGATTGCTGCCAAACTTAGGTCATGTATGTTACTTGCAGAGCCGATGAACTGATTAGATGTAGGGGTCACAAGGTCAAAGTTCAAAGATCACGGCACATTATGTATGCAAAAACAGCTCGTGATCGCGTTATCTCAAGAACCGATTGATGGATTCCTGCCAACTTAGGTCATGTATGTTTCTTGCAGAGCCTATGAACTGAGTAGATTCTTGGTTCATAAGGTCAAAGGTCATGGGCTCATTATGTATGCAAAAATAGCTTGTAATCACAATATTCTGAAAACCTGTTAATGGATTACAATTGAACTTGAATTCGAAAAATTTCTTCTGTTTTGGTTTGTAAAATTGCTCTATGACGGAGGCATCATTTTCGACTGCGCGCAGTCGAAGTTCCATCTAGTTTTTAGTAGAGCAGCATTTCTTTTTATTGATGACCCTTGTGAACATGAAGTAGTATTTATTGAGTACCGTATAGCATTCAGGGAAAAGGTTTATCAAGGGGAAAATGGAAATTTGTTATAGTTTAGTGGACGACAAAGGAAGAGTATTAGTCACAAGCGACCAACCGAACTGTGCCAGTTTAAAATTCACATTGATTAAGTGATGTTCTCTTTGACATTTACATCATCCTGTTTCTTGTATTTTTCTGCTTTCACACAAGTCAACTGATACAAAGATTGGATTGCCCTTTAAAGATAAAGTCAACATTATTATTCAAAGGATTCATAGCAAAATTGACCAAGATGAAATAAATTTGTGATATTCTTTGCTAGTTCCACATGATATGTACACATGGGCATGGTACTTAAGCAGATTTGTTTCATTCATTTGATATTATTATTATTGATTATATATTGATTATATCGAAATAGGGAAAGCAGGCACCGAATGTTGTTTGATTTATAGATCAGTCAGTTTGTCCACTCAGAAGCTATGAAGAGCATTGAAAGCTCTAACAATTTATATGATGGCTCAAGGGGCGGTATACTTTGTCATTTTGAGATGGAAATTGTGAGCAAGTGGGTATATAGGGTGGAAAATGGAGGAATGCATCTCTCACTTCTTGGTAATTGGAGGCATGGCTACTTTCTGTTGATTTCTCCCTTTCTTTCTCACTCTCTCTCTCTCTCTCTCTCTCTCTCTCTCTCTCTCTCTCTCTCTCCTTCTCCCCTCTCTCTCTCTCTCTCCTTCTCCCCTCTCTCTCTCTCCTTCTCCCCTCTCTCTCTCTCCTTCTCCCCTCTCTCTCTCTCTCTCTCCTCCCTCCTCTCTCTCTCTCTCCCCTCCTCCCCCTCTCTCTCCCCCCTCTCTTTCTCTCTTTCTCTCCCTCTCCCCCTCTCTCCTGCTTTTAATAGACGTACATGAAACAGACATAAATGTCTCTTCGAGTACTAAAAGAACGTGGGCTTATGCAATTTCCTTAGAATGCAATGATACAGTGTTTCTGATTGGATAAGAGACAAGCACGAGCAGTATTTAACCGAGTATTAGTTGGACATGAGATGCAGGGAGGATGTTTTTTTTACTTGATTTGAAAATGTTTTAAGATCATTTCAGTCTGTTGGTGTGTCTTTCATGAGTATTGGGACTATTTGATGAAATCTTTGGTAACCAAGGGAAGAGAAAATCTTTTTTATTAACTGAATTCTCTTTTTTATTTACTGAGTGCATTTGATAGTGATGAAAAGCTGTTTTTCAGTGCCAAATTGTTTGTTAGACGTGTGATACTTGTCAATTTAGATAATACAAAGAAGATCGCTCATTTTATAACTGAAGTATTTCCTTAATTTCTTCCAAATATTTGGAATATATCAGTGTATCAGTTGTGTAGAACAAATGAGTCAGTATTGTGGTACATACATGTGACACTGTCATACATATTAGCGTCTCTGTTCATGTGGGTACTAGAGTAGATAGAGTGCTGAGGTGACTGTTGTGCATTCCTATTAAGCATCGGGAATATCTACAAAACAAGACAAAAATCATTAATTTGCAAATATTTTCAGATCGGGTATTTATTGGAGATTTCCTTTCATGAATGCAATTGGTTGTATTTACTTGTTTTGTTTATTTCAAAATGAACATGAAAGGTTTGATCATGACCTGGTAAACCAGCTTTAGCAAAAATGGCACAGTATTATGAAATGAAATAAGTTTAGTTAGACAGAAAAATCTGTCCCCTTGGAGGAGATTATTTACTCATAATGCAAAGTGCACTTGTGGAGGAGGGTGTTTAGTTTCATGCAGCTACTGTTTTTTACCCCCTTACGAATACGGACACTGCGCTGCTGCAGTTTGTAAGGAGGTTTATTGCATCGTGTTGGATTCAAGCCTAATATAACATTTGATAACATAAGCACACTTGTATAGGTATCTAGTGTTAACAGTGTAAGCACTGAATGGAGGGATTGTGACAAATGACCATATAAATGACCAATATTAATATTTTAGGTAATTTTTAAAATATTTTATCTTATAATTTCAAGCAAAATGTTTGCCCCTCAATCAATGGACAATGTAGGATGTTTCCTAGTCATGATCACCACATGCACAAGAATGTTTTAGATGGAAGAAGCATACCTGTTGTGTATTTTAAAAGTGTCTTTTTAATTGTTTTCAATGTAGTATAATTCTTAGTATATAAACATTATGGAGGAAAAATGTGATCTCCTTAAAGACTTGTTAAACATTAGAGATTAAAAGTCTTGATTATTTTTATATTCTCAATTTGCAGTACTTTCAGGTGTGAATAATCTTTTTAATTACTGTTTTGATGTTAAAAAATGACTTGTCGTTATAAATGGTTAATGTTGAACTACCAGAGATTGTGATGACATACGGTACATGTATCATGTGAAATGTATATGACTGTTATAGTACACACATCTATGCTAATTGGCAATTTCTACTCTGTACTAGTTAGTATTCATCATTCAAGAGAGACTTCAGATATATTGTGAAGTGGTTCCAGTCTAGTAATGTATGTACTAATTGCAAGAAAGACGTACGACATATTTGTGGTCTCTGTGCTGTTATAGAAAACAGTTAAACTGGAGAAAGGAAAGATCCATGTACACATGTAGATGTGATATACCGGAAGTCAAGCTGCAAGTACCGGTATGAAATACATGTAGATGTCTTATAGATTTTATATTGTGATTTGTGTACACTATTTGTTCCTGTTTGTGTTTATGCCATCATGGTCTGGATTTTGAAAGGAAAGGATAAAGTCTGCTTTAACCTCAGCCATCCATTATTTTTTCCAAAACGGAAACAAATCCTGTAGGATAAATACTGTAAGGGCAGATGTCACGATGACAAGGAAAAGAGAAAAAGCATATCGCTAGTTCAATGCAAGAAGGACGTTAACTCTATCTTAATATACATGAGTTACAAACGTTTTTCTGGCTCCACACACATGATATGTATTAACGACCGTATTGCTGTTGGCAGACGATATGTGCTCTGTATAGAGACCAAAATGTAGGCGACATTTTGATGGAATTTAATGTTTTACTTGTAGCACCGTGATGAGACATATTTACATGTGTAAGCTCTACAATACAACATAAATGACTAGTTGTTGAGTGGCATGCATCAAGCTCTATCATTTCATTCTTAGACAACAGATTTTCATCGAACTAAAGATGATATTAAAATTGTCTCGTTCATGTTTGCCATGTCATTATGATGTGTTGTATAATGAGCGATCACTGCATCATGGACACTTCTGTGAAATTAAAAGATTTTATGTGGTCAGATCAAATGTAATAGAGAGAGAGATATATTTATATAATGTATACATATATATATCTAAATATATTGTATAATCCACAAATCCCTTTTTCTAAAATCCTGATCATTTGCAATTGTTGTACTTGTAGATATTACATAAACTACTTGACGGTATGGATTGTATATAATTGTTAGCATTACACAAAAATATTGGTAAACATAGATTTATGGACAATTTTCTGTTTCTTGTACGTTGAATGGCCGACCCCATTGAGTGGCCAACCCCATTGAGTGGCCAACCCCATCGAGTGGCCAACCCCATCGAGTGGCCAACCCCATCGAGTGGCCAACCCCATCGAGTGGCCAACCCCATCGAGTGGCCGACCCCATTGAGTGGCCAACCCCATGGAGTGGCCGACCCCATTGAGTGGCCAACCCCATGGAGTGGCCAACCCCATCGAGTGGCCAACCCCATTGAGTGGCCAACCCCATCGAGTGGCCAACCCCATTGAGTGGCCAACCCCATCGAGTGGCCAACCCCATCGAGTGGCCAACCCCATCGAGTGGCCAACCCCATCGAGTGGCCAACCCCATGGAGTGGCCGACCCCATTGAGTGGCCGACCCCATTGAGTGGCCAACCCCATTGAGTGGCCGACCCCAAAACTTGATTGCATAAAAATGCTGTAACAGGGTGCATCATGATTGGATAATTTGCTGCCTTTATAAGTGTGCATGTACAGTGTATATTTTAATAATAATACTACTGGTAATTAGAGTCAGATTTTTAAGGGCAATTTCATTCTCCACTTGTTCATTACTGGTACTCATTTTGTTACGGTTACTAATGCCAAGGATTTTCTGAAATGCTCTTATATAATTCATAGGTCTTGATAATACATGAGTACTTTGTTTATTATCCCAAATTACAATGTACACTTTAACATTTCTGAAGACGTTCTTTGTCTACAAGATGATGAAATTATTTTATGGCATCTATGTGTTGCTAGTGACAGAAAGGCAAGAGTAAATGTTGATATGATTTTTAAGGGAAATTAATGTACATACTTTATTTATCAAATATTATACTTTATGATTTTGGCAAATATAAATGTACATGTATGTTACTTATATGTGGTCTTTTTCATCTAATAAATACTTCAATTTGTAACTGCTGTTTGTTTGAGGCCTTATTCTTTTGTATGATTGTTATTTATTTGCTGTCTTTACTCGTTTACCAGTGTTACAGGGGATACCACCCAGTTATCGAGTCAATTTCACCAATGCCAGAAGATGTAAGGAACTTGTGTAAAGTTTGAAAAAAGAAACTTTATAAGAAAGTAAATGAAAAGTTAAGGTATATCAGAACATGAATTGACAACTTGATTAATGATTGCAAGCTACTCTTTTTTGTTTTGTTCTCATATCAATTTTCTCCAAAGAAAATGTTCCCCAAACATTTGTTTTCCAACACACTGCCCAATCATTTTGCAAGGTTCTAATAAGCATATTTTGGATTCAAAATTTCTGTTCTACATAGTAATGATAAATATGTCCATACATATAGCAGTTACCATACATTAGTACTCTACTGTGTACGAAGTAGTAAAATGAGTACCATAGCTCAAGTCGAGCTGCTGTGATGTGATGAGCAGTTAACAACTGAATTACTCCTACCCTTACCAAGTTTTGAGAATGTGACAAAGCTTTAAGCTACTAAAAATATTAAACAAAGGCCCCGATTCAACCATTCTCGAGTTACAAAAGTCACAAAAACATCAAATTTATAAGGGGTTTGAATAATTTAGTTCTTAACTGTATCATACCAGGGCCCACCTACGCAATCATACGCAACTTTTTGTATGTTGTATAAAGGCTTGTACATGTATGTTACATATAAACAATCGCAGTACATGTATTCATAAAATGGTACCTATCAGAAATATTGATGCACCATTGTCATCTTCAATTGATACTCTTACCCTCAATCTCTCTCCTCATTTTTGTATTTCTTTCTTTCATTCTCTCTCTGTACTTCTCAATTGAAATTCTTATCTTGATCTCTCTCACTTCTCTTCTCTGCTGCTCTCATTTTTTTCTCTCTCTCTCCGTCTGTATCATTGACCAGTAAAATGTCCCCCCCCCCCCCCCCCCCCCCACCTTCTGCTCTCTCTCTCTCTCTTTGGTCTTTCATATATGCAATTTTCTTGTTCCACACTTCAATATCAACTCAATTCACAAGTGCGTGCGAGAACCAAACCTTTCATCTGAACCACAGACACTTGCTTAAAGACAGTCAATACTACTGGGCCAGAAGGGATTAGACCACCCAGCCAGGTCACCGACAGGTGGCTATCTCATTAACTCAGCTCTCAACATAAGAAAAAGAGGATCATAGGTGACCAACAGGCACCGATTGGGGAAGTTTCCTATATAGAGGGAGCAAGTAGCTACAAGTATGACAGTGGGGCTTTAATATAATGTAAAGATTTGAGCGATTTAAAAAGCAAAAGTGGGTATTAAATAGGCTTCTTGTAATTACATTGCAGCCAGATCATCTAGATTTGTCTGCTAGATATCTTTAATCTAATTATTTTTCCACCTGAGATGATTGAGACTAGACCATTTATCAATTTAACATTTTGTTGACCAACTGATGGCAGGATTTGGGAAACTTACAAATTCTCTTCCACAAATTCAAAATTAGAATGAAATCACAAAATCACATTTTCCAGGAACATCACCTTTTTATTCTATTTTACAACAATGACAAAGACGTAGCATTAAAAATAGGCAGAAAAGCCACTACAGTATACTTACAATATAGACATGAAATACAACGCTTAACAAATGATATAATGAAATGAAATTTGACCCAAAAGAAATTGATAAAAAAATCAGCACTTAATTGTGGCATTCCTTAAAATGTGGTTGATGCTTGTTTTGGAAATTTGAAGACAGCTTGCTTACTTTACTCAATCCCAATAATTGGCACTTAAAAAGATTCAATTAACTTTATCCAGGTTGTGTGTTGCTCATGCAAGAGAAAAGCTTTCTTATAAATTACCAACATTCAAAGCATTCACCTTATTTATAAAAAAACACTAGTACAATATTTGATAACAGGGAGTTAAACAAAAAGCACAATGCATACAAAGTGAGTCATTTCTCCAGATATCTGTTCAATTGTTTAGCACAGAACTCAGAATGGTTTTGTTTGATCAGTGCCAATTTCTATGTGCATGTGTGATCAGCCTTACATTTAACAAACTTGGGTTAAACTTTCCTGATAATAGACCATGATTAAAATTCCCCATGCACAGACCGATTCTAAATCACTCATTTACATCAAGAATAGATCAGTTTAACTTTGAGATAATGAAGCTACACAAACAAGAATATTTACAGCCTCAACATAAACCTCCTGATATCAAAAGAGTTCGTGAACTCACGCAACACTGGCCAGTTGACAAGTCCATGTGAGATTAAAAGTTAATTTCTATCCATTAAATCATGACAACGATCGTTTGTCTGGTGTGCGTCTGTATACATCTAAACCCTTGCTGAATCTAATAAGGCCTATCCCTTCTATCTCGCCTATCTCCGCCCATCCTATCTCCACCCATCTTAAACCCTCCTGGACCACCGGGTCCACCTGGTCCTCCGGGACCGCCACGCCCACCACGGAATCCACCACCTCGTCCTCCTCCAAAACCTCCACGACCACCACCGCGATCACCAAACCCTCCACGTCCACGATCACCTCCACGATCACCACCACGACCACGGAATCCACCTCCACGGCCTCCCCTCATGCCGCCACCCATGTCGGGACCACCTGTGCACAGAAAGACAAATCAATCACAGTTAATGCAAAAATCATCTTTATTCCATTTGCAACTGATCAGTTCCACTCTCACTCTGCAACTCTTATGTGCAGTTATATATACCTTTTGAATTCCAATCTTGCATCACAAAATGATCCCTATAACAAAAACCCCTCTACAAAGTTTGTCAATCTTGGTATCATTTTTCATGTGAAAACATTCTCCTAACTGCTGGTACCAGTGAATATGACTCCACATAACGGGAAGTAGGCTATTCCCTTTTATTGGGTCACCAAGTATTTACAAAATTTGCAATTTGAACTTACCATCACCTCCTTCCTTTGCTTCTGAGCATCTGTTACAGTTCTGTCTCCATCCAAAGTTCTTGTTACCACACGAGCTAAAATACAGAAAAAGAGATGAATTATTTTACCTTGCTGCTACAAAAAAATAATACACACTTCTTTGAATCAATAATATTTTAGTTTTTATATAGCGCTTAATACTAATGTCTCTAAGCGCTTTACAAATAAATATACTATTACCCCAGTCATTGGATTCAGTGCTTGCCCGCACACACTATGTGCACAATCTCCACTCCCTGGGGAGCATTCCAGACAGGCGTTACTTGACGTTCAAAAACTGTTTGACCAACAATGACGGTCGCATCCTACCGGGTACCCATTTAACACCTGGGTGGAGAGTAGCAAGTGCAGGTTGATATCTTGCCAAAGGATATCAGTGAAGATTGGAGTTGAAAGGAGTTTGTCTAAGAGCTAGAAGGCGAATTGGAATTGTTTATGTGATATTATATCACATATTTTTTTTGTCATGTTCCTATCACTGCAAATAATTTAAAAAATTTTAAAGAATCCTTTTGATGATCGTGAATTTTCTGAAACCGCACAAATTTTGCAGGAAGCCAGGAGGATGTAAACTAAAAGCACTTTGCTTACAGTTAAGTTACAACCTTCTCGCATTCCACAGACAACATTTAGATGCTATACTTACGAGCATTCCCAATCTCCTTCACGGAATGATCCACCACCTCCAGGTCCTCCGCGTCCACCTCCACGTCCACCACCACCTCGGCCACCCCTGTCCATGCCACGCCCTCCACGTCCACCTCTATCACCACCCCTATCGAAGCCCCTTCCACCACCTCCACGACCGCCGCGACCACCACCGAGTCGGTTGGCTGGACGCTGGGCTAGTTCTACCTTGATGGTAGCACCATTGAAGGGCTTGCCTGAAATACAGAGAAAATAGAGAAATAACATGAGCACCTTTAGTGTCACTACATGGTACACAGGGACCCATATCACAAAGCCTTTTTTCAATGACAAAAATCAGAGACAAATCTACTGATAACCAATCAGAAGCAAGGATTTCAGTAGCTTATAACAAAAACTGTCATTTGTCATTGATGACAAGTTTTGGGAAATGCCCTCCAGGTTTGCACAAGAAAACACATATTTAACATCTTTGTAGGTGTGATATATTGAAGAATGATGTTTGATAGAGGACGTACCAAAACTATTGCCAGGGTTGGAGTTTGACAATGTCCCAAGACAGATAACAATATGTAATTTCACATTTCCTTGGACTTGCAAAATACCAATGAGACCTTAGAATAGAGTTTAATAATAATCACATCCTGGGTTTATGTAGCGCTTCAAACATCTACTACCCTGGTCATTGGATGCAGGATTGTTCGCACACAATGTATGGACATTCTCCTCTCCCTAGGGAGCATTCCAGCCGAACGCCATTTTACAGATGCTCACAATGCTAAGCGAACTACAATGATTTTCATATCCTAACAGGAACTCATTCAAAACCCGAGCGGAGAGAAGCACTATAGATAAATGCCTTGTTCAAGGACATAAGCACTGTCCCGGGATCGAACACACGACATCCCCATCTCCAGACAAGTGTTTAAAGCCTGTCTGCACTAGTTTGGCCAGGGGGTATTAGGCCTCCCTGCATGGTCACTGACAGGTGGTCATCTCATCAAATCAGCTCACAATTATCAGAAAAAGAGGATCATGGGGGACCAATAGGCACCGATTAGGCATTATTTGCTATATATATAGGGGCTGCAAGTAGCTATAAGGAGTGCAGTGGGGCTTTAAACCACTTGAGCATTCCTCTACTCACCATTAAACCAATCAATAGCTGATGTAGCTGTATGAGGATCTTCATAGGTCACTGTAGCCTCTCCTGTAGGTTCATGTGTTTGCTTGTTCTTATAGATCCAGATCCTATCCTTGTTCGTCCTCTTATCAAGCTAATGAACCAATCAAAGAAAGAACAGGAATCAAAGCTGTTAGCAGTGATGCCAACCTCTTGACACAAAAAAAAACAGACTGATTATCCTAAAAAATCTGATTTTGGTGAGAAAAATCTTTTGTTGGGGTTGCGGGGGTTTACTTGTACATGTTTCTATGCGATTCCACTGTTTTTATGGAGGGGGGTTTGAAAGAAAAGATGAAAAATCGTATTTTAAGATTTTAAGATCGTATTTCACTCTTTATTATCGTACTAAATACGATTCAATTGTACTGGTTGGCATCTCTGTGTTAGATCATCACATTCATCATCACACGCTAGACAGGACCATCACAGTCTCTTAAATTTGTTCTCAATTTGCATATCTTTGTTTTTCAATACATCGTCTGTTCAATCTTGATTCGACAATACTATTAAACAAGCCAAAGAAATTATTAACTATAGTCCCTCAATGGGTTTTGTATTTGTCAACAGTAAAACCAATATCAGTTTATATAAAATGTGGGTCCAGAACTCAGAACTATCAAATCAAAGTATAAAGATAATTGAATGCGTTACCTTGACGATACCGATCTGTCCGAAGTGTTCCTTGATCTTGTCTTCATCGACACTGTTTGGCAGCATTCCGCTGATGAATATGGTATCGTGTTGTACTTCCATCTCTGCGCAAAAAGATCAAAGCAGAAAGATACTCCTACATTCTCCATTTTCACTGCCTCAACATATCATCTGCTGAAACCCAGAAGGCTGTAATATCTTTTGAAACTTTCATAAAGTAAGGCCCTTCTGCAATGGCCAATGTGGGCATAGACTTGCAACTAATTATTTCACACATATACAATCAACCTTTGAAAAGGTACCTTGATAGATACATAGGGATCAAAAATTTTAACTTTCAAACAACTATACATGTGCATTTTTACTATTTGGTGCGAGATTAACAAGTCAACGCAAAGCGTAGCATCCCCTCGCAGGGTACAAATGGCCTATATACATCAGAACAACTTTCTATTTATGCACGATTGTTATGGCCCCCAAAAAAGTTGAGATTTTACAATTCCCTTACCTCCACCTCCTTTGTTGTATCCATTGTCAGAGTCGCGGCCGAATCCACCGCCGCCTCCTCCTCCACCACCACCGCCATCACCTTTAAATAGAGCACAAAAATGAACCTTGCATTAATAACAGAGTAACATGTGATCAAAATATATTTGCTGCGTCACTTCACATTGAGTTCCTTGCACAGAACCTAGAAGACAGTAATACAAATCTATGGTTAGTAGTGTCTGTGATATGATACTTCATTTCCTACGTGTTTTGTTTTTTAAATATTTTTTTTCTATTTTTTAAAACCTTTCGACAGTGAGAGGGTATAGCAAGATATACACGCACCTCAAATCACGTCTGATAAACCGCTAGCAGTTTCTACCTTGCAAGTTCTACTTCAAATCATTATGATCTACCTTGCTTGGTAAAAAATGAATACTTGTTTAACTTTCATTCAGTACAGTACTTCCACCAAATGTTTTGCTATATCTTGTGCCGGGTACAAAAATCCCATCAATACAATTGAACCGTATCATTTAGTATACTCCATGCTTTGCATGCTGCTGCTGCGTTTTAGTTACTTTTGTACCAAGATTTTTTATTTTATTCTAACTTCACATATACGTTAAGTCCCGTACGTTCAAAACTGTGTTAGTAAAGTTACTGTAAAGCACAGTTTGTAGCTTAACAGATATAACATAAATGTCATGTTACAGCTGTAAAACCGAACTACACTGTATAACATGCTCAAACCCCATGTTTTACATTTTTATTTCATGACATGATATGCAAAAGCTTGTGTATATGTGTATGTATGAACATGCTGGGCACAACACTGTTACTAATCCATGAATAGATTTTTCATGACGAGTTTCTTTTTAACACAACCTTTTTAAAACATTCACATCCCCAACCATCGTCACTTGCATTTTCATGATACTCGTAGGCTGGACTTGGAGGGGTACTACCTCTTTCGATGTCAAAATTATCAAACTTTACTGTTTCCTAGCACCTTCCGCCGTTGACCTGATTTTTTTGCTTTAGAAGTATAAACCTTTTTTTCTTTAAATCAATGCTCTACAATTGCACAGCCGCGACATGTACATCACTAGATTTTCTAAAAATTCAAACAGAAATATCCTGGGGAGAGGGAGTTATGTGTTCATTAATGATATGAAATGTGCTTTGCTTCAACTCTTGAATTAACTTTTTGAAGACTATGTATCATCTTCTTACTGGACCAGACTGATTTATATTTCTTTAATTTCTCCTTCCAAGCTCATCCTTAATTTATGTGTTAATAACCTCTTTGTACCTTGCCACAATGAAGTTCTTAAAACGGGCAAAACTCGTCACACAAACCCAAATATTGTAGTACCGCGACTATGTGTTTGTTACAAACCATTTGGTACATCCCACCAACTCAACACAAACTGAGCAAGAAACCTCATGTTCAGCATAAATATGCAGTGGGGAAAAATGCCCACTTGACTTCCCATAGACTCTAATATTGAAGATCTCAACTCCTGTATGACTGCATGCCTTGGTAATTTCCTTTTACTGATAGGATTATATTTTTCAGAGACTAACTTTGCTGCAACTCAGTAAAACATTACCGCCATCAATGCTTTATTTGCTTGATAAATTACCATAAGGACACGCTAACTTGCATTGTTTACCAACTCCTGGACACACTTATTATCACATATTGGCATTTTTCTTTATATTAAAGTTCCTGTTTCATCCCATTTCGATGGTACTGATTTCTATCGCGCACTGTCACAGTGACAACTACACAACCAAGTATGCAAGTTTGCAGTACAACTCATTTTACTACCGACACTGCGCTCAGTGCGCTGTATGCTTTGTTGGTGAACACCATGTAAAACTTTAAGAGTATGTTTGTATATGAACCATTAGTCGAAGTATGAACGTTTATGAGCAGTGTCTGCTTCTCCTCGATTCCCAACTGCTGCAAAAGAATAACATTTCATAGGTACATATTCATAAATAAGAACATTCACATAACCACAACCTAATCCCCCACATCCATGATATATTGATCCTTTTTTGTGAAAAATAACTCTTCAAGTTGTTTCATCAGTCTTTGAATTTGACCTTGGAATACAAGTTACTACCCAACTAGCTCTTAGCTAGTGTATCGTTTTCGAGATTAAACACAACATTCCACAGGATACTCCAAGTTAAATAAAAGAAGGGGAAGGGCAGATGCCATCAACTCTTTAAACACAATATATTATTTTTCTTTTACACGTAAGTTCAGAAGTACATTCAAAGATTGAAAACCAATCCTGTAAATAACCCACCTTAAAGAAAAGTTTGAAAGTTGAGCCCCTGAATGAATTTACCCATCCAAACAGAAAATGCTTTTACGTTTAGAGCCCTTTCAAATAATGCCACTAAGGGGGTTTTATCCATCTATTTTTTCAATAAGAATAAAAACTAAATAAATTTAGAACACATTGATGATCGACACACCAGAGATGGGTGACCTAAACTTACCACCGTACTTATTGAATCCACCCCTTCCGCCACCACGATCACTGGTTGTATAGATAGATAGAGGACAAATAAAAGGGCAAGTTGATTTGAGAACGAGCAAGCCAAGAGCTTAGGAGAGAGGGAGGGGGCATTGCAGCCTTCCCTGATCTCACTTTAAGCCTCTTTACAATCTTCATTATCTTCTTGTGGATACCGGCTAGTCAGAAGGTAGATCCACTGTTCAGGACTAATCAGGCAATATTCAGGACTAATCAGGCAATATTCATATACACATGTACATTTTACACGACTATAACTAGTAGTCCAGAGAGGTTTATTCTTCCTAACACATGCCCTGCTTAATCCGTAAAGCAAACTGTTTTTCTTCTTCTCTTCTAGGATCTTAAATACACCCAAGGCACACATTCAATTGGCTTTGAATGCAAGCGTTAATGTCCGACAAATAAATGACCTCTTCTTTGGAAATAATGGTTCTCAAAAATAAACCTCTCTTCACAAATTCACCAAAAACATGAATTATGACAACATGCACCTGAAAAAACATGTTTCTAATTGCAATTGCAATTTCAATTTTTCTTACCACACTACGCAATAAAAATTAAATAGTATGAAAAAAAGAAATAAAATAAGATTTTTAAACGGAAAACTATTCTGCATTCCTTATTGTCATTCTTATATAATGTATGTATAATCAGAGTACTTATCAAGACTACTTTTGTAAGTGATAAAAACAGCATCATTCTGCTCCATGTTTATATGTGCAATGCTATTACTACCTAAAATATACACTTTGGTGTATTTTTAAAAATGCACATTTTCAAAAAATGTTACACAATTCATCAACAAAACCCTTACTTAATTTTACATTGACATCACCATATACACGGTTCAATATTCTGAGGAAAAACTACACCACTTAATTATGTTCTCTACCACTTCAATAAAATGTTTTAACAACATTCTGTAAATTCAAAAATTATTATTTCTTTTTCAAATAAAAAAAAATACAATAAAATTACAACACTCCATTCACTCACTATCAAATATAATGGCTAGTATCTATACACATTTTTTTTGTTTTCACTGCTGTGGACAAAACCAAACAGATGGAATAATTCTATGAAATTGCAACACTTTGAGCAACTTGTAATACACTAAACATATTTAGAAATATATTCTTATTATCCTAGAACTGATCAAAACCCAATTCCCTCAATGTCTGTTCTGAACTGAACAGCTCTTCATCCCTTAACGGTGTCACCTAACAGACTTTTGCTTAGCACAAGTGCTGTATTGACATACTATTTAACCTACAGAAACCCTTCATCAAAATACAACCAACTTCCTAGTGTTTTATGTCAGCAAAGATATGCAGCAACTGTGTAACACTTGGAACACAAAACTACTTGTTAAAATCGTGAAGTAAAAATATGACTGATTATATAAAAATATATTACATATTACAGGGCTTCAAGAATAACCATTAACCATGCAGCATGACTTCAGCCTAATCTCATATACAAAAAGAAACTATCTACATCTTCATCCTGGTGTATTTTTGGTAAAAGAAGGTGCCATATTTGCAACATCACAAATACATTTGATAAGGGAAGGGGGTAACATATCTCTCACACTCACATAATGACACATATTCAAATTTGATTCTATCCATATAAATGAATGGATTAAAGAAATACAAACTATGTTTAGAAAAGTATTTATTAAATACATTGACGGTGTGTGAACAGGAAGAAAGAAGTACCGTTTACCACTTATTTTTTCACACTATATAACCATATCTTTTCTTAGTAGAACCAGCCAGTTCAACACTTCTTACAATCAACCCTGAATCATTTCAACTCCTGTAAAGAGCTTCTTTTTTTCTCCATTTCTTAGAATACCTCTGGTAGATGGGTCAGTATACCATAGAATGTAGACACAAGCATAGATGTAGTTTTATTTCTTTCAACATGCTGTTTAGGCACTTCCAAACTTAAAGGAAGACGGTCCTCAGTTTTCATGGGCATACATACATGAAACACTGAAGGTTAATCCTGGTGAATCATGACAACAGCTGTTATTGTTAACACCCAAACTGCGTTGAATTCCCCATGAGAGTTTTCATGGACATACATGAAACACTGAAGGTTAATCCTGGTCAGTGACAGCAGCTGTTATTGTAAACACCCAAACTGCGTTGAATTCCCCCATGAGAGCCCACTCCTAAGCGTCTTTAAAAAAGAAAAGTCTGAAAGAGTGAAGATGTATCATGTAAAGTCATTCATGACAACTATCACTACTTAATCATATTTGCAACTCTCGCTCAGTCCATACAACTACTTTGAAGTTTTGTTTTTTTCGCAAAGAAAAACATGAGTCAACCGATAGATGAGTGGTCAAGTTATCATTGAAGCTGTCACATGTACTGAATAGAAACTATATGAAGGTCCTGTCATGTAATGCCTTTACCTCAGATGATTTTTGTTAAAGTCCTCATAAGCAACCACCAAAGTACCCAAAGGATGTCATACCCGAGTGTGTAGGTGACAGAGGATGAATGTCGTACATTACAAAAGGGGGAAACAGATTTCATTTGATATCAAACCAGATACCTTTCTTTCCTTAACACCATGATGACATGCTTCTTCAATGAATGCATTGATAAGAGAGGGCGTTTTTGTTTTTTTATAAATATGTATAAAGTGTAATTGCAGCTCTTTATCGTACAGGAAAAAGACAAGGAACGAAGTGGAAAGAGAAGAGATTGAGAGAGATAGAGAGATGACATGACCTGGAATAGGAAGTTTAAAAAAAAGAAAAAGGTTGATTTTGTGTGGTCTTATTGATAATAGAGTGCTGTACATCAATGTAGTTTATTCTTTCAATGTCATAGTAGCAGTCCTATCACATCTGTTTCCATCTTCAGCCGACTTGAAGTAGGGTGATTCAATTCATCAAATCCACAAGAGAAGAAAACAACAATAAGACTCATGCAAACACACCTGGAATCTTGCTTTCTGGACCACCTGTGACATAACAAATTACTGTGGACCCCTGGCACAGAAATTAACAAGTTTTTGGATTTCCTGCTGCTCAATGGTGCTCAGCTCATGATATCACATGGTACAAGTTCAAGTGAGTGCTTCTTGCAGTAATCAAGAAATCTAATCTCCATCTACTAATAACCTCACAGAGAGAAGATTTTTTAGCTTCCATACATGAATGTGAGTGAGATTCACACACTATGAACTAGATGACGGACAAAGAAAGCGGACAAAATATACAGTTCCTCAGGTAGATAAAGAAACATCCCTTCACTGCTATTATGTAAAAATGTATAGAATAGGTGAATATGTATGTGATACCTGTTCTACACATTTTTACATAATAGCAGTGAAGGGATGTTCCTTTGTCTACCTGAGGAACTGTTTATTTTGTACGCTTTCTTTGTCCGTCAGGTTCATAGTGACATGAATTTTATTGTCTATTGTACGACCAGTTCTGCTCTAAGTATGAGGAATATATCTCTGCCCACATGTCAACTAGAATTGTAGAAGTGATTAAACACCAGTCAAATACACACCTCAATACCTCATAACCAAAACACATCTACTACTGACCCATTACCAATGGAGTTCTATGTATACCTTTTTACACTACCAATACATGTACATATGGTTCCAAAATGACCAGTTTCTTCCTTCTCGATTTTAAACCCATGTGCATTTATTTGTACACTCAAAATTCCATAACTACATCATATATTGTATTCATGTCTTGTCTGAATAACCGAAACTCAGGAAAACGTTTACTATTTGTCTGAAACTTGGCTGGTTCTTTACAAAACATATAAAAATATGAAATAAGCAAATAAATTGTTTTACTTGTAACAGTTTATATATTCTTACAACTACTACATATTTTCATACTTTGGATGATATCTGAAACGAGAAACCATGGCATGTAATGTTGTTAGAGAAACGGATCAAAATGTACTGTTCATTATGAAAATAAAATACACCATTGCCACCAAATAAATATATAGACCAAGTCCTGAACCAGAACTGATGAAAATAGGGGTGTATTACTCTTAGCTTTAGATCTACATCGGCTTTGGTTCAACAAACACTACACCCAGATTTATAAAAATATAATGGCTCCGTGTGGAGGCACAAAAAGTGATGTACCTAAAAAAACACCCAAGCCTTTGCACATCGTAATATGTACCATAAATTATTACTTTACTGCCAGTGCAATATGAGCCTTTCATTATTCAAGACACCACAGGCTACAACTTGCGACAAAAATTTACTTCTAGAAAACTAATAACCTGTCGCAACCTTTTTACTTCTTAAAACTTATTTTCTGTACAACTTTTTTATCACAGCTTTACGAATCACTCAATGTATAAGTTCCTATGTTGTTTCATGACAAGGCAATGAAAATCATATGTAGCACACTACATCAGAAAAAAATAATAAAGATATGAATAAATGAATAAATTAAGATATAGATGTAAAATATATTACTACCAAAGATTTGTGTATATGTCCTTTTACTTCTCATCAAGAGCCACTGTATGTTTTAATAGGAACCATTAAAACATGTGCATTCCATGAATATCTGTCTATACTTGTAACTCACCCGAATCCTCCATCACGACCCCCTCCTCCTCCTCCACCTCCTCGTCCTCCCCCGAAACCACTGCCCCCACGGCCTCCATCATCACGACCTCCTCGGTTGTATCCTCCTCCTCCTCCACCGCCACTTGGTCCACCTACAATGGTATCAACATATCCAATGGTCAAACATGTTTATCCACTGGTCAAAAATTGTTCATACATGCGGAAACAGGACTAAAAATGGATTATCAATTTATTAGAAATTACTTGAAACACTGACATTACTAAGTTGGAATGTTACTACTGTGTTTAAAGTGAAGGGAAGGGTGATGTTATCAATGATAGTATGTAAGTAGCTATAAACATGAACAACTTAATAAAATAATCTAACTTGAAGTGTACCATAATACTCATACAGTTCCTTTTATCGGGTTGATGTACTGTACCTAACCCTGCAGATATCTTACTCTATAATGACTCTGACTTTGACGCATTACTCCGTAGTTGTGACTTACCCTGGGGAGGGGGTCTGTATCCTCCCCCACCTCCCTGTGGCCCAGGCCCTCCAGGTCGCTGGTTGTACCCTATAAAAACACCAAGAATTAACCACAAGCTCTTATCAGGGTTCACGTTACCTCTCTACTTATCTTTCTAATTCTACATGTACAAACATAGACAATTGACCATGCATACACCTGGCATTCAGCAGAATTCTTTCCATACACCCTCTTAATTTGAACACGCCAAGGCAGAACTTTTAAAGAATAAGTTACAACACCTGCTTGTTACATATCATCTTGATCTTTGTCTAATACCGGTGTGATATTAAGCACACTACTTGCATACATGTTCATTACCTTACTTAGTTTCCTTTGTATCTGTTAAGTACATCAACACTAGCTTTCTACTTTTATCTTTAACTTGAAAATTCAACTGAAAAATGGGACCACAATGCTGTTTAGTAGTACATCTATAGGCCGGAAAGCCTCTATATCTTATTACCACTCAAGCCTGCACTTCAGCAGTGTACTTTGGAGTCTACTTAGTCTTAGATACACACAAGACAGCCTACACATGCTCATTTATAGGATACAGTACAGTATATGTCTAAGGATGATTTTCAAACTCACCTCCACCTTGCTGATATCCACCTCCTTGTCCACTGCCTTGTTGATAGCCACCACCTCCACCACCACCACCACCTGCAAAACAAATATCATTCAGATTGATAAACTCATATGGCAAGTCTTCTTATCAAGTGCTTACTTTTACTCAAGTGGTAGACATTTAGGCCCAAATTCACAGAGGAGGGTGTCGGCAAACCTAGGTTTGTGTGCGTCATATGACGCGTTTCAGACCAAGGTTTGTCTGAACCTTGATCTGAAACGCATCGAAACGAGTCATATGACGCACATAAACCTAGGTTTGTCGACAAACCTCCTTTGTGAATTTGGGCCTTGCTAGGTGAGCAATGGTGGGAAAATTTCCTTTCATGACTCTGAGCTTCATTTTGACTGGAGTAGCACAAAGTTACTAGGTGTGTGAAGGTTCATCATCATTTCTCTTGTAACACTCTTTCCACTTCTACGGAGTGAGTTTTGGAGGAAAGCGAGGAATCCAAGTCAAGGCAATCAGTTAACAGACTTAAACTAATTCAGTCAAGTCCTTTAGAATATGATAAAGATACATGCAATTATTTTTTATTCAACTGATGACACACACATGTGACTCATCTCATTTATGTCATTTCATAGAAAGGACATTTGTACGATCAACAGATGACGTGTTGACATGTCACAAGTGCTCTTCGACTTATGCGTTGATCATGATGATCATCGTCATAGGATGGATACTCTGTTGTCCAATGGAATCTGCAAATATGAACATGTCTAACGTTATCCAAAGCATAGAATGTGTGACGATTAACAAGATCCACTGAAGGAGTGGATGGATGGTAGCAGAAGGGACGTGTGAACAAACCTGACTGCTGGCTTTGTGGTTGACTGTAGCCTCCAGAGCTCGGGTGCTGGTAGCCTCCTGGAAAGGAGAACATTGATAGAGATAGATTAAATAGTGTGCAGGCATGGGCTTTGTAGCTGCTCCTCACAGCTTCAGGTTATCAAGTAAAATATATGAAAGAATGGTTAGAACAGGCAGTTAGACGTTGGTATAGAAACATCTGTTGATAGTTTCATCTGAAGAACGAAGCTCAGGATAAGGATATATATATGGGCCAATTTAAATTCTTGCAATATGAAGCTTGACATTTTTTATCCAGAAGCTTTTGTTACCAGCTTGACAGTTGAAGAAACACAATCTCTGATCTAGCACATTCATTAATTTAACAGTCAGCAAATAGTACATGTAGGGGAATGCTCCGAACAAACTAGTGCAAATTAGTAATCACATAATTTCATCTTGAACCTGGAAGCACACTTCAATTTTTATCTGGTAAGAAATGATAGCATGTTTAGAGGTTTACAAGAAGATATCATCGTCATGACTGAAAGCAAACAAGCAGATACTTTAATGGCTTTATGCAGTGGAAAATCTCCAAAAAGCAACTGCTCTGTTTCCCTAGTAGACTGGGCGAGAAAACCCATAAGCAATTGAAAATGTGCAGATTATGTCAAGTTGAAGTGCGTTAAAAAATGTGAATTTCCTCACATATATCTACAGATGCACAATCTCTGGGCTTGAGGTTGCCATTGCAGTTCTCACGACTGCTCTAGAGGCTAAGACTCACTACAGGGAAAACGGCACATGAAAAAAGGGGGAAAAAGCTAGATTCTCTAGATGGGTCCTCAGCATCTAAAGGGGATTCTACAAGGCTATATGTTAGTCAAATAAAATTGAAAAGTTAGAGAAAGAAGCAGGTCAACCATCTACGCATAACCGTGAAGAAACGAGGTTGATAAATAAGATTTCTGGGAAGCAAGACACTGTCATAATTAATTGGCAATACATGAAATGAAGACTGGTATACCATCAATATAATGCTTTGGAGAGAGAAACCCTTCAGCAATCAGAAGTGCGCTCGTTTTGACAGCCAAGGGAAGTAAATTCATCTACCCTTGAGAGAAGCTAGTTCCTAACATCATAAACACAGAACTGTTAACAGAATAGAAATTGTGGCTCTTTGCAAGTCATCAGTCTCACTTCACTGACATCCAATTAAAACATGGCGTTTCTTTTTTAAGCATGTTTCAGTAAGATGTCTACAGCCTTCAGCTTATGACAGAGTCTTGCACCAGGCCCTTGGAATGGAGGCTACAGCACGGCCACTATTCTCACCTTGTCGCTGGTCTTGGCCATACTGTCCACCCCCACCACTCTGGTATCCCCCGCCGCTACTTGGTGGTTGTCCACCTTGTGAGTAACCCCCACCACCACTACCACCACCACCACCAGCGGACTGACCTTGGTTGTAGCCTCCTGGTTGACTCTGCTGCGGCGGCGGCTGCTGCTGGTAGCCCTGGGATTGCTGCGGCTGGGCAGGGGGTTGGCTGTAGTTTGACGGGGCGGCTGCAGCTGGCTGGCTGTATGATGGCTGAGCTGCAGGAGGCTGGGCGTACCCTGTGCTGGGCGTGCTAGCAGCGGCCTGCTGGCTGAAACCTGAAGATAATATATATAAACAGTTCAAGATATGTTTGTGTTGCCAACAATAGAAACAGGGCAATAGCCAGATTGTGTTTCGCCTACCTTTGACCAAAGGACATGAATGTCACCAAAGAGCAATCCTGGCCAAAGTCTGGATGTACTTGGAACAATATAAACAAACTTACAGTGATAAGAGAGTATGTGGGTAAAACCTTCATATTTAACCTTCAACTATCTGACCTCAGTTCAATCATAATTGATTTTGAGCCAAGGCATATATGCTCTCGGGACTCTTCTCAGTTATAAGGCCTTCATTAGAGTATCTTCACATAACGTGAAAGATGAATTGGTGAAATGGTATTGTACATGCACTTCGTCATGTCATCCACAAATATCTAGACGACAAGATAGCGGTACATGACATTGATTTACGCAGCGGGAACGCCAGATTAGTCAGTGACATACTTATCTGGAGCAGGCTGTTAGCCTGATCTGCGAAATATTGTGGAGGCCTAATCTTGTAAAAGAGAATCTTAATGTAGCTAAATACTTCCAAGGCAAAAGATACAACTACAGATCAAAAAGTGTCTCCGTCTCTCTATTCCATGTAACTTCCCAAGGAAATATGGTTGTTATATATCATCAGTTTGAAGCCCTGAATGCCTTGGCACCTGAGCGACAGTTTGACAGAAAATTATCACGTTTTCCAGGGCCATTTTACATCGCTAAACTGGGCCTAGTGACATCAATCCATTTACAACCTGTTTTTTTTTTTGGTTTTAACTTTTAAAAACATTTATGAGAGTTTTGATTTCTTTTCCTGTATTTTGCTTTTTTGCGACGGATCTATTTTTTCCTTCAAACTTCTTTTGGAGCTTTCCAGATTCCAGGACTAAATTAGGCTTCAGTCCCAAATTTGACTCTTTCAATTGCAGACTATATACTAACCAGCTGAATATGCTTGTGGTTGCTGCTGTGCGGCTGGTTGACTGTACGTGCTAGTTGAGTAAGACTGCTGACCTTGTGGCTGACTCTGTTGTTGAGAGTAGTCATAGCCAGCAGTAGAGGCCTGGGGTGCTGCGGCTACGGCTGCTGCAGGAGCAGGAGCGGCTGCGGTTTGACCATATCCAGGCTGTAAATAACACAACAGGTGAATAACAGAACAGGTGAATAACAGAACAGGTGAATAACATAACAGGTGAATAACATAACAGGTGAAGAGTGATAGGGATTGGACATATCAACATTTATCGATAACAGATTATTTTATAAAACTTAATTTTACTTCCTTACTCTGTTCCCTCAGAAGCCACGATGGAATCAGGAGTCATACGGTAATTCCAGCTATTTGTAAGGCATTTCATCATCAGGATTATTCAAATGCAAATTTCTTATCAAAGGTACTTTTAAAACAATATACAATTATTCATGCCTTAGTTCCTTTACAAATCCAATCCTAAAACTTGCAACACATATTTCCAGTTTGGATATGGTAGCCCGAATGCCAAAAACAAATATGAATAGCCAAATAAATTAATATCTGTAGACCACAATAATATTTTACCACTACAATAAACAAAACTTTATTTTCCCCTGCTTTTCTAATTCACAAGCAGCCACTTTCAATTCTGATTTTTTTTTTTTTTTTTTTAAAGATCCTAAACTGTAGAGGTTGCTTACCGTTCCATACTGAGCTGCTGGTTGTTGGTAACCAGTGCTAGCTACAGGTTGAGCTGCAGGCTGTTGATATCCAGCAGTGCCTCCATACCCATACCTTCAAAAACAACAAATACAAGCTCCAACCTAAGCATTTCATCATGACAAAATAATGGAGGATTAAAGCAATCAGAAAGCATAAAAAATTACATAAAAACCATCAAAACAATGGTGTGAAAAAACAAAAACAACTTTACCACTGCCCAAGGTTCTCAGGCTTAGCATACAAATTGTTCACTACACATATCAACATTTATCAAAGGATCAATAACGGATGATTTTATAAAACTGAATTTTATTTCTTAACTCTGTTCCCTCAGAAGCCACGATGGAATCAGGAGTCATACGGTAATTCCAGCTATTTGTAAGGCATCTCATCATCAGGATTATTCAAATTAGGCCTAATTCAAATGCAAATTTCTTATCAAAGATACTTTAAAACAATATACGTTTGTACATGCCTTATTACTTATAACCTTTACAAATCCAATTCTAAAACTTGCAGCACATATTTCAAATTTGAGTACAGTAGCCCAAATGCCAAAAACAAATTTTAATAGCTAGATAAAGCAATATCTTCTACCCCATTCGTCTATCAATCAATTAAATAAATATGACTACTTACGACTGTTGGGTGGCGCCATAACCAGCGTATTCTGTAAAGAGAAAAAGGAAAAAAAAAATTCTGAGAATATAGAGAAGCTCAACTTCCTAAACATACAGTAAATAGTTTCAATTTACACAGGCAAAAAAAAAAGAACTGGGTTAAGCAGATGGGTCAATGCAAATATTCTGTTTTTAAGTAATTTTCAAAAGGGCTTCTGAATTATTGGTTGTGAAAAGTGATTTGATTTCAGTCTTTTTAAACTCTTTCCTCAGGAGCCATGGTAGAATCAGAAGTCATACGGTAATTCCAGCTATTGTAAGGCATCTCATCATCGGGATTACTTAAATCATTTTGAATGAAAATTTGCTACTGAAGGTAGTACTAAAACATTACACATGTACATGTCTTCTTTCCTTTCAAAGCCCAAATCTAAAACTCGTAACACATAATTCCACTTTGGTTATGGTAGCCCAAATGACCCATAACATTTTTTGATAATCAGATAAAGTATTCCCATAATCCTACAGTGTTCCAAACTGAGCTTTTCAATTCACAAATACCAGCATGTCTTTTGTGTCAACAGTTGCTGCAGTGAAATTATGTTTCGTTCCACCGACAAGTGCCATACCTCACACTACCAAGATTATTTGGGCTTTCTATATATATTCTATGGAAGTTTGGAACTACAATATTTTATCTAGAATCTGTAACTTTTTCTTTTATAGTCTATCACTCCTGTACATGTACAGTATATTGGGATATTTGTTTTGTTTGTTGTTGTCATTTTACAAAGTCAAAGGGCAATGATAGGGCATCTTTCTAGATCGAAATGAAACATGGCGAAATTGAGCTCATATGTCATTATAAAATTTAATGTAGACTAATTGCCATTTGTTTCAAAACGCCTGTAATTTGTTACCATCATCGTTTACCAAACAAAACAAAGTATGAGTCTGACTCTAACTCAATGAGAAATGTTGTCTTTAAAATAACTTTGAACTCTTAAACTCCTATATTGAGCTCACGCATTCAGCATGGATGGTTGGAAACTATTAGAAATAAAAGTATCATGACAATTTGCAGTACAGACCATCAATCAGATTATCAGACTGTACAATTTAATGTGATAACTATTAACATCAATCACCATGACCTCCAGTTTAAATTCCACTAGACCTAGGAATCTTTTGGAGGAACAACCAAGTACCACAGCATAAGGCAGGATTTATAACAAAATATGCTAAGTGCCCCGCCTGCTTCCTTTAGGCCGATGAAAGTTGATCTCATGGTTCTCGTCAGCGCCCGCATCAAATTTTGCTCGCGCACCAAAAAAGTTCAACACTCATCGCTGACGAAATTCCCGCGTCAAAAAGTCCAGATATGAAATTACCGCCTCAAAAAATCAACAATATTTTCGATTGGCTGCCGCGCGTGGCCCATGTGACACGCGTCCATGGCGATTCTGCCAAGTCGATCGCTGATTGGTCTAAAGTATGCCGCCCGCTACTTTAGCTGCCTATCGCGTAGGCCAGGAATAGTCTGCGGCTAGACAGGGGGCGAATGTTTTGCCTCACGGCGTACTCCAGCTTCCCGCTACCGTACCGGGTGGGAGCTAACGCGTATTAAACTGTTCAGTGCATTGTGTACGTTGCCCAATATACTAGCTCAGGACAGCAATTCATCTGTACTATTTATCAATCGCTTTTGGCCGCACTGTCAGTCAAAATGATTCTTTCACTTTGTGTGACTCAGGGCAGCAGACTGCTTGTCAATTGGAAGATAGTTTGTGTAGATAGTTTTGATGAAACCTTGACATTTGAAAGGTTTTTTGAGTCTGTGAAAAGAGGGGATGTGCTCGGCGTGCCTCCATGCATTGAGTGGCCACACGGGCCAGGCCACGATGTACATCAGCAGCAGCCCTGTGAAAAGTTTGACCCCGCGGTTGACATCAAACTTGCAAAGGTGTACATGGGTATTAAGAGCGTTACATGTATAATGTACAAGACTCGATACCCTCGACAAGTTCTATTGGTTTGTATATGAAAGATGAATTTGGATCAAAATCCCTCATTCAAATTCCAAATATGCCCGCGAGAACATGAAATCAAAGTCAGATGAAAGATGAAAGTTGATCTAAATCCCTCATCAAAATCTCAACAATGCCTGACGAGAACCATGAGATCAACTTTCATCGGCCTTAAGGGGGCCACGTAGCACCTGCTTTTTTTCTCCATGTTTTTAATGAAAAACTCCAAAAACTTGATGTTTTTCAGAAAAAATATTAAATTAAGGTCTATAAAAGGTGGCGGCCATTTATTAAAAATAGGCGTGCCGGACGTCTTGAAAAATGCGCTGAGCGGCCATTAAGGGAAGCCATGAAGCCGAAATTAATGTTCTCACCAGATGCACCCTACTTCTTCGTACTCTCCAGTTTACATGTCTTCTTCTGCACAATGTCTGGCTTCTTTTACTTGCACGCATCACGCACTCACACACTACCACTATTACTCCACCCTGGACAGCTGTCAACGTAGCTTTTTGGGTGCAACAAATTCAAGATTCAAGATCCTTTTTCTCTGACCAGAATTCAGCAAGGGCAAGGCCAAATTTTCTTTGTTCAAAAACGACAAATCATCATCATCATCACTTAACAATGGCACTAGGGTCTAGTTGCAGTCATACATTTCAAATATGTTTCAGAAATGCTTATACGAACACTGATAAATACACATAATACATAAATCAAGTCACCAAAATCTAAATTCACGCACAATCACAATCACAATCACATTGCATGCACACATGGTCATAGCACACTCGCAACACACACTAAGTCAATGGCAATCGCATGTGGCACGCCAAAGCACACAATAAAAAACTTTCGGGTTAGAAGAATTTTCGGTATCCATATTACGGATTATGAGAAATCAGATGTACATGGAAAGAATTGCAAAAGAATCTTAAGATCTTTACCGATTCATCTATCATGCAAAATAGAGAGGAAAGATTGTAAATAGTTAAATTTTCTTACGTGAATCTGCCGACATGATGATCTGTTCTGATATCTATGGACAGGCGAGGTCGGAGGACGCTATTTTGCATAAATAATTGACACGTGATACGACGTCATAATCGGCGCCAATAATTAGAGATGGCGCTAGACCACAAATAGACCACAATCGAGCTAAGTCGAGTAGAAACTTTTATGAAAGACGGGGGCTGGGTATATTTAGCTGATGCTTTTCATTATTGGTGGAAACCTAATGGAGGGGGGCGACTTGTCACTTGAACAGACAAGGCATGACATACAGTTCCCGTACGACTTGGGTCTATTATCACGCTAAACCAATCATCTTTTTTGTCACTAAACATTAACAGCCAAAATGTGCTAACCCTTCAATAGACAATATTGAGTCGAGACAATCAATAAAACTAAATGTCAACTATTTTTCAACTGCTGGTAAAATTAAGTTGAGACGCAGTGGGTGTGTCATTAAGTTGATCTTTGACGAATCGTAGAACCAGAAGGTAATTAAGGGTCTTTGGTAGTATCCTCTAATGAATGAATTTAATACCTGCATGTTGAACCTTTAATTCATTTTTGCTAAATCAAGTAAATACTTATAGTTTCTCTATTCCTCTTTCTACACTTTTTTTTAAAACCCGCTTTGAATTGATTTTGATTTTTCTTGTGGGGGGCTTGGGTATATATATTATGTTTATGAAATTAGAATAAACATGTATCTGAGGACATTGTGACAGCTAGGTATATATACCCCTGAAGTGCGTGTGAAATTAAATTCAATCGATTAAAATTTGTAATCAAATTGACATTTTCATGTAAATATCTAATACAAAGAACCCCCCCCCCCCCCCTTGCCCCTTTTGCTCCTTTTGACAAATCCGGACGAATTAGCAATAACTTTTACTTTGCATTTTTAAGGTTGTCAGATAATAAAAAGCGCAGTCATATTCAGAAGAACCAGAAAATAATAGCCTGCATGCAGATCGAAGCTGGTCATTTCCCCGGCCCCCCCCCCCCCCCCACTCAGGTTTCAAAATGACCGCATGCGTGTTGCCAAAATGTCCTTTTCGTAACAAAAGAAAAAGGTCGAGCCGTATTGACTTTACACACATGCTGAAAAGGGGGGGGGTGCGGAAAAAGGCTCGTATACAAAAGAAAAAGGTCGAGCCGTATTGACTTTACACACCGGACTTTTGCTGAAAAGGGGGGGTCGGTTGGAACACGCATATGCGTACCCTAAATAACACTGAGTGGGGGGGCCGGGGTCATTTCGCATTTTGCATTCTAGCGACATTTTCGGAAAGTCATGTTTATCCGTTGTTGATATTATTCTTTCGGGTATTTTTTGTTTTTTTCATTCATTTTTCAAAAATTCTGGGGGTGGAGGGCTTTACCCCGCCCCCACCGGATCTCCAACCCCGATGAGTTGGAAGGAGCGGGGGAAGGTACAGACGTCTTCTGTAAATGAGGGCCTACCATGCACCATGATTATTAATGGCTCTGCATGGGCAGGGGCGGCGATCCCGGGAGGGACGGGGAGGACGTCCCATCAGGCCCCTCATTTTTTCTTCCCCCCCCCCCCCCCCTCCGCAAAATTTGAAAAAGTGCAAAAAGAAAATGTATAGCAAATAACTGAAGACCGCAACACACTTTTAGGCTCTACGCTTCCTCACAAATATTTCCTTCGAAATGCACAAGTAAATTTTGTAGAATATCTGCATTCCGTTGGTATCACCGTGAAACCCACTGGTGTACTGATGGGGGCTGGGGGCAGTTCCCCCAATATAACTAACGTGGTTTATTTCTAATTCGTACCAGTGATTAACAAATGTTCCTCCCCTCCCCCTCGAAAAAAACATGATATATTGTTTCATTATGCCACTGGTGATGCCAACGGATTACAGATTTTCCTTCGCATTTCGTCCCCCCCCCCCCCCCCCCACGGTTATGAAAAGAAATCGCCACCCCTGACTCTGGGACCTACATACTTGCAACGCAATCATTGCATAGTGGATAGAGGTCTCTGCATGCAATATCGATGATCGGTACTATTAAAAGTGACGTTTTTATTAGATCAAAATTAAAGAATGGTTTTCCCCCTTTTTTTACACAGATAAGCCGATATAAAGGCAATGATTGAAAGAGATTAATAATTATCATAGCCTCTTCCCAAATAGGTTTGACAGCATGACAACACATTATTTTTATGCATGTTGAAGGGCAATTTTTACAAAAGGAACAAACGTTTAGCTCTATGAAAGAAACAAGATGTGTACGTATAAGTGCCCCTTATCAGTTTCGAGAAGTGCCCCTGGCACTTTTGAAAAGTGCCCCCTTCACCTCTGATAATTGCACTATTCAAATCTGAGAGGTGCCCCTTTTACTTTGACAAGTGCCCTTTTCCTTTTTTTTAGAAGTACCCCTTCCCCTTTTGATAACGACCCCCGTTTTAACTGGATAAGATCACCTTATATTTTCACATGTGCCCCTTTTCAATTATAATAAGTTCCCCTTTTCCAAATGAAAGTACCCCCATTTAAAAAAGAGCCCCTTCCCCTTTTCATAAATGCCCTTGTTCATCTCCGGTAAATGACCCTTTTCAAGAACGAGATGTTACTCCTTTTCACTGTAGATAAGTGCCCCTTCACCTCCGACAATTACCCCTACTCTAATATGAGAGAAACTCGTTTTTACTTTGACAAGTGCCCCTTTCCCTCCTGTATGGTGTATAAAAAGAAATTATATTGAATTCATCCTTGATAATATATGATTACAATGTAGCGGAGTATACCAATGTCTAGAAAATGTATATTTGCGCCTTGAGATTTCCCTTTGTAGGTGCCCTTTTTTCTCCAGAAAGTGCCTTTTTTGTTGGTGCCCCTCCCCCCCCCCCCCACTTTGGAAGTCGCTCTGCCGCCCCCGGATCAAGAACTTCAATACTTGGAGTCCAGTCTCCACACTGTTATACTTAGTTGCTGCCACTAAAGTCGGACAAGCCTCAAACAAGCTTTCGGGTTGTCAAAAACACAGAATACTTAAAATTTGAATATGTTGTAAACCGGCCTATTGACCTGGTCAGGGGTCATGAAGTTCGTCTCAAAGGAACACCGTCATTATAACATGAATCTGTTATCATATTTTGGATTTAAAAACAAAGTTTTCGTAAGTTTGGTTCTTACTTTGGTTTAAGTTTGTTATCAGTTTATCAAATACTATGTCCTGTGTAAAATTGGAGGTAACCAACCGGTCATTTATTTAATTTTGTTTGTTGTTGTATGTTGGAGGCTTGGCGAATAAAATCAATCAATTAATCAATTTGGTATAGTTCCTCCTGTCCCGAGTTCTTCAAGAAGTTAATTGCTACCAGGGTGAAGAGTAAGCAATTAAGAAACTGAAGATTTGCCCCTAAAAAAGCGTCTTCGGCCGTATTGCCTAAATGAGGGGAATTAACCATTCATGTAAATTGATTTATACGGTATAGATCTATATGTTTACAGAATATTGATGTGTTACATTCATAGAGATATTACATTACATTGTAAATTGACTTAATATGACATATATTTGTCCAAACAACTTGATTTGTTATATTACATTGTAAAGTGATTTATATGTTTATAAACAGAATTTTGATGTACATCGATGAAGTTTAATAACTACAATACAATACAATACATGAAGGTTAATTAGGTCTACTTTTGTGAAATCCGAAAGCCCTATTACAGCCTTGGGTCTTTGGATTATGTCAACATAATAATTATGAAGAGCGCATGCGCGTAAAGTCTGTGGCGCGCCGTTTTCTAAATCTGTTTTGAGCATGGTAGCCTCTAATCGGGCACATCTACAAGGAGGTCAATGAATATGCATATGAGTGACGTCGTGTCAATTCATGAATATTGATGTTCTTGACTGCGCGCGTACGTACGTACGTGCGGAATTGGGGTCATGTACAATGAAACTAATTCGTGCAACTCAGTGGCTAGCTCCGTCAAATCAGGGGCAAAATCTTACCATTATACAGTTGGATTGTCCGTGGTTATGAGGTAGAAGTGTTTGAGTGTTAAGTATATTTATTTAGTGTGGATTTTGATACCAAATTTAAGCAAAATTGGCGATTCTTTTGGTCGTTTTTTAACTCCAAAGAACACGTGGCCAACTCGATCGTCGGCTAAACTACCTCCCTGCAGGTGCGCCAGCTTTACCTCTACAATCATGTGCCCGAGGAGAAGGGAGGGTAATAAACGAGTACAGCTAGTGTCATGTCGTATATATATCGACTATTCTAGATATGTAAAGGATGTTATAAAGCTTGCTAAAAAAGTCTAAAATACAAATGAGTTTCACATGTATCAATTCAACTTCTTAACATTAATTTTCTCTGGATTACACGTGTCTTACGTGGTCAAACATGCACCTCCCTGTAGATGTGCCCGCCTACCTCTACTCGAGATAGGGATCGAGTTAGTGTAATAAAATAGTATTCTATATTCAATATCCGAGAGATAACGGATTTAACATTAAAGCTCCCTTATATATGAGTTTACAACTATCAATTCAACATCTTTGCATTGATTTTCTTTGAGGTATACGTGTTAAACGCTGTCAATATACATCACCTCCCTGTAGATGTGCCCGCCTACCGCTACATGTGCCCGAGATAGGGGATATGTAGTAAGGCATACAACTTAGTGTTGTATATTGAATTTCCGACATTTCATGGATTATAATAAAGCTTCCTAAGATACAAATGAGTTTCACATAATCAATTCAACTTCTTAACATTAATTTTCTCTGGATTACACGTGTCTTACGTGGTCAAAACATGCACCTCCCTGTAGATGTGCCCTCGAGATAGGGATCGAGTTAGTGTAATAAAATAGTATTCTATATTCAATATCCGAGAGATAACGGATTTAACATTAAAGCTCCCTTATATATGAGTTTACAACTATCAATTCAACATCTTTGCATTGATTTTCTTTGAGGTATACGTGTTAAACGCTGTCAATATACATCACCTCCCTGTAGATGTGCCCGCCTACCGCTACATGTGCCCGAGATAGGGGATATGTAGTAAGGCATACAACTTAGTGTTGTATATTGAATTTCCGACATTTCATGGATTATAA